GTTGGCCTTACAAGTCCTTCAAAGAGAAGTGGTCCCATAACCAATGTTGTCTTTCTGTTCGGTGTCAGTAATCTGAGTAAAAGAGCACCCCAAAAATTATACCAGTGTGCTCTGTGATTTGGGCTCAAGTCTGCCAGAAACAATTTTATTGAATATATATTCAAATAATTTCTAGATTGGAGAGAGATGTTCGAACTGACCTAGTCTCCCAAGCCTTCCAACATTATTGCCCCAAGACAATTTCAGGTAACAGTTATTGGAATCTTGAATAAGGAAAAGATCACACTATGTGAAAATACAGTTTGGGGTTAACATTCTTGGACTTGGCGTCTGGAAGACCTCAGTTCAAATTAGGCCTCAGTAGCAGTGTGATATTAGACAAGTCACTTGGCCTCAGTTTCCTCATCTGTAGAATGGGAATAATAGCATTTACCTCCCAAAGTTGTAGTGAGGATAAAATGAGATGCTGTTTGCAAACAAGCTACTTAAATACTAAAGCTGTTATTCCAGAACTTCCTGGACTATTTGATAGACAGATTAAAAAAAAAAGAGTTCTTGTCATCAGTATTTTAACCTTTAATTTCAGATTACAGTAAAAACTGCCCTTTGGTCAGTCTGAGCACTAATCACTCCTGGAGAGAGAGAGGGCAATCATTTATCTAAATGAGATCAATTTGGTTATTACCCTTACTCCATTTCAAAGGAAGGCCCTAGCCTTTGTTCTTCTGACTCCTAAAGGGAATAGTCTGGAAGGTGTTTTAGTCTAGAGAAACAGTATTTCTTTATAATTTCTAGAAAAACTAAAAAGGAAGTGTTTAAAAATATGCTTCCGTACCTCCCCAGCTTGCTCAGAATACAGTAAAAGTCAGATTACTTTTATCTGGACATACAGCCCATTATAAAAGCACCCATAACAAACAAGGTTTGAGAAGTGTCTTAAGCTCCAAAGAATAAGCACTAATGCATGTTCACCCGAAGCAATGAGGCAGAGGGAGATGAATGGGAGAGTGAATAAAGTCACCAAGCATCCCAGCAGCCAGGCAGGCATGACCAAAAAACAGCAAGTTCTGTCCACATAGATCACTCCCTAAATACATCTGCAAGCCAGAGAAGGTTCCAATTGCCCAAAATTTTAGTTGTGCAGTGCCCTTAACTTGCTGTTGGCTCCCACCAGGGGCATGAGTCTACCCTCCACACTTTCTCTAGCTAAGAATAAACTACATTTCTCAGCAGCCTGGGGCAGCAATGGGGGATTTCATACAGAATGCAAAAAGTACTCAAACCTAAGTTCAACAAGTGTGTGTATGTGTATTTTTTTAAATTACCATCTGATGGGCCTCACCTTCCCCAGGGACTTACCAGTCACTTTGGACTTAACACTGCAACCCTAGAGTTGAACCCTACACTCCTCCACCAGATGAGGGAAAAAAATTGAGGGTTTCTAGAGATTCAAGCAACCTAACCTTTGAGTGAACCCCATCTTCCCCAAGGATCTATGTAGTCTTTCCAAATTGAGAGTGCTACCTTGTATTGGTTATATGGAGTCCCCACCTCCCCCAAAATAGCGATAGATCTTGGGTTGTTAAAGAGTTGGACATCATTTCCCAAGTGAAATCTATCACTTACGGGCACCAGTGAAGGAGCAAAGTCTAGGTCTGCTGCTCCACTTTGTGACTTTGTGCTTTGAGGCTTCCATAGCTCCCTTTGTGATCCAAAATACATAGCTTGAGCCAAGAACTCCTCGTTGTCCTGAGGAGCCCCAAAAAGCACTGAAAACAACCAAGGGGGCAGGGACAAAGCTGACAGCCTGGCAGCAGCTGGCCTGGGTGCAACAACAAAGGCTTAAATTGCTTTAATGTATACAGGATAAATCTGTACAGCCCAAGATCTAACAGGGCACAGTGTCCAGATACAGCAATCCACAGTACCCTTGAGTAGGTACCTGGCAGCTCTAGAATTATCTTTTGTACAGTTGACAAAATGGTTAATAACTTGTTTCATATCGGTAGAAAAGAAACAAATCAAGAGCTTATATAGCAAACATACAAATGAATCCATGTCAGCAGAAGTAGAAAATAAGGCTGAAGAAAAGATGGGAGTCAGGTCAGATAGTAGATCTGGATGCCCTGCTAAAGAATTTCCACTTAGCCTGTTGGTTATTGAGAGCCATTGAATGTTTTTGAGCAAGAGAATGATGTGATTGAAGTAAAACTTTAGATATCAACAAAATGTTTTTTAAATGAATGGTGCTGTATATGTATAGTATTACATAAGCTACTTTCAGTTACATTATTTTTGAGTTCTTAGGGCAATCTTGTAAAATAGGTAGGACAACTATTATTAGCCCCACTTATGACAGTTGAGGAAACAGGGTCAGAGAGACTGACTTGTCCAAAGACATATGACTAGTAGAGGCATCAGAACTAAAACTCAAGTATTCTGACTCTTAGTCCATATTCTTTCTACCTAACACTGAATGAAGGCAAGTATTGAAGTGACTAAGGTTTCTAGCCTGATTGGGAATAATGATAACTGGCATTTATTTAGCACTTTAAGATTGGCAAAGCACTTTGCATAATCTCATTTGATCTCCACAATAATCCCAACGAGTAGGCACTACACATGTCAACTGCATTTTAGAAATGGCACCAAGGCTTCAAGGGGCGTCACTTGCTGACAGTCACCCGGCTAGTAAGTGATACAATCAGGATTTGATTCTAGGTCTTCCTAACTTCCATTCCAGCCTACTGTCAACTACTGCCTCTTCTACTACTTAAAAATATGGAGAAATCTAGAAGAATTAGATTGGTGGAAAAAATGATTTGATTAATTTGAGCTGACAGGGCATCCAAGTAAAGATAATCCAGTAGGCATTTAGAGAGAGGAGAGCTAAGATTCAGATAGGATGGGGGACTGGGTATGTAGACCGGAATTGTCCGCAGAGGAGCAATAGTGGAAGATTTAAGAGTGGCTGTGATCTGTTCAGGACAGAGAGACTAGAGACCTGGTGAGAAGACAGCAGAGGGCTGAGATGCTTTTAAACAGGTAGGAGAAATTGGAGCCAGGAAAGGAGACAGAGGAGTGGATCTAGATATATAACTAGGACTCTGTCCTGTCATGGCAGGCAAAGGAGGACAAAGTCTGCAGAAGGAGCCAGTGGTCTACAGTCAGCCAATAAGCGTGTATTAAACATTTAGGGGCCCACGTCCAGTCGTCCTGATCTATATCTTGCCACTGGACTCAGATGGCTCTGCAGAAGAGAGAGGCTGGTGACTTTGCACAGCCTCCCTCACTTAAATCTAATTCACTTGCAAGTCAGGGCATCACCTCCCTGATGTCATGGTCTTCTTTGAGAACAAAGGACAAACAACAAACATTAAGCTCTTAACTACATGCCAGGCACTGTGCTAAGCACTAGGGATACCCAAAAAAAAAAAAAAGACAGCCCCTGCCCTCAAAGAGCATTTAATTTACTGAGGGACCTCAATACCCAACACCTATGTACATACAAGCTATATGCAGTATAAATGGGACGTTATCAACAGAGGGGAAGTGATAGAATTAAGAGGCTAAGAAAGGCTTCCTGTAGAAGATAGGATTTTAGTTGGAACTTGAAGGAAGCCAGGAAAGCCAAGGAGGCAGAGATAAAGGAGAGCATTTCAGGCACAAGTGACAGCCAGTGAAAAATCCGTTTCTTGTTCAAGGAATAAAATAGAGGCCAGCGTCACTGGATTGCAGAGTACATGGGGGAAGGAGGGTTGGAGAGACTCATGAGGTGGAAGAAGACTGGAAAGGTGAGGGACAGCGATGCAGGGTATAAGGGACTTTGGACACCAAACAGAGGGTTTTATATTTGATCCTAAAGGTGATAGGATGCCACTGGAGTTTATTTTGTAGGGGGATATCATGGTCAGACCTTCAGTCAAGGAAGATCACTGGCAGCTGGAGTAGAGGATGGACTGAAGTGGAGAGAAACTTGTGGTAGACCCAATAGCAGATTAATGCAATAGTCTAGGTGTGAGATGATGTACCAGATGAGCATCAGATGTACCAAATGTAGTATCAAATGAGAGAAGAGGGTGTACGTGAGAGACATGAGGAAACAGACAGGCTTTGGCAACAAATGGGATGAGGAGGTGAGATAGAATGAGATGTTGAGGATGACACATAGATTGTGAGCCTAGGTGATGGGGAAGATGGTGGTATCCTGGATAGTACTATGGAAGTTGGGAAGAGGGGAGAATTGGGGTGGGGGAAGGAGATAATGAGTTCAGATTGGGGTATGTTGAGTTTTATACATCTGCAGGACAAACAGTTTGAGATGTACAATAGGCATTTGAAGATGGGAGACTGAAGTCAGTAGAGAGATTAGGGCTAGATAAGTAGATTTGAGAATCATCACCTTAGAGATGATAATTGAATCCATTAAAACTGATAAGATCACTAAGTGGAAATAATAATAGAGAAGACAAAAAGGGGTCAGAGACCTATGGGACACTAAAGGTTAGCTGGTGTGACAGGATGAAGATCGAGCAAAGGAGACTGTTCAGGTAGGTAGGAGAACCAGGAGACTGAATGTGAAAACTTAGAAGAGGATGATAAACAGTGTCAAAGGCTTCAGAGAGGTCAAGAAGGATGTGGAGTGAGAAAAGTTCATTAGTTTTACAATTAAGAGATCATTAGTAACTTTTGGAGCGGGGAGCTTTGGTTAAATGTTATCAGAAGCTGAGTTGTAGAGAGTTAAGGGAGTGAGAGGAAAGGCTGGGGAAGACTAAAGGACGAGGAAGGACGAATGCATTCGACTTCTTGGGCCGAGTCCTCAGGCTCCAGACCAGCCTGGTTTACAGCCTGCCCACAGAGTCCAGAAAGAAGGTGAAAGGGCCAGATTGGGTAGCAGGGGTGCCAATCTGCCGTAGGTGGAAGGGCGGTTCCAGGGTCCTGGGGGCGGGGCGGTCCTGGGTGAGAAGCGCCCCAGCCACCTTTGCTCCTCCAATCTGTAGGAGCCGCTGTCTTCCGGGAAGCTACAGGAAACAACCCTGCTGCAGCCCCGAGGAAGCACCAGCTCGGAACTGGGCACGGAGACCTCGGAGTTGGGCACGAGGAGCCCGGAGCAGGCACGGGCCGGCTCGGCCTCCAGCAGCGCGGAGCGCAGTCTAGGCTCCCCGGGGCCCGCCCCCTGGCTCGGCACCCAATCTCGCTGCCCCGGAGGCTCCGGTGAGCCGAGCCGAGGTGGGGCTGCACCCCCCCGGGGGGGGTGGCAGGAAAGGGAGTGCGCTATGGCCGAGACCGCTCCTGCTCAGGTAAGAACCTCGGGGGGGGGGAGGCGCCCCGGGGTCAGCCCACTCATCGGGGGGTCAGGGGTGGAAAGAGCACGCGCGAGCTGTATGCACTTACTCAGCCCCCGAAGCTTGGCTCTCCCGTGTGCCCTCGAGGGACAGGGGCCGGCACGTCCCTCCGGCTCTCAGCCGTGACCTGGGCCTTCGGGCCCAGCGGGGGACCGGAGGGAGGGCGATGGGATACCTCGTCCTGGGGGTGTCTTTGGTGCGCGTGACCCAGCCCTTCTCCCCCCCCACCAGGCTGCAGGGTGGGACGTGGGCGCGCCTTTCCGGGGCCTCCAGCCAGACGCCCCCTTCCAGGCCTCAGAGCTTTCCCTGTGGTCCGTGGTGGCGGCGATGCAGGCGGTGGAGAGGACCATCTGTTCCCATGCCAGCCGGCTAATGACCCTGGAGGGCCGGACAGGGGCCGTGGAGAAGAAGTTAATCGACTGTGAGAAGACGGCCGTGGAGTTTGGGAACCAGCTGGACAGCAAATGGGCCACGCTGGAGACTGTGCTCCAGGAGTACGGGCTGCTCCAGAGGAGGCTGGAGAACATGGAGAACCTGCTGAGAAACCGTAACTTCTGGATCCTCCGGCTCCCGCCGGGCTGCCGAGGGGAAGTCCCCAAGGTAGGCATCCCCGGGTACACCCCAGTGCCAGATGGAGGCTTCTGGGGTTCTTGCACCAGCCACCCCTCCTGAGCACCCTCCGCTTGTAACCCAGAGGAAAGAGCGCCCCAAACTGACTGATGTCCTGTGCCCGGAGTCCACTCAGCAACCAGGTTCCTTTACATGATTGTGGTCCCTATGTGTGAGTGAGTAGTGAGTGAGTGTGTGTGTGCACGTGTGTGCGTGTGCACGTGCGTGTGTGCGTGTGCATACATACATTCTCTTGGTTTTCCTTTCTTCTCTCAGCACCATATGTGAGGCAGCCAGTGGCTCTGTGAATAGAGTACTGAACCTGAAATTAGGAAGACCTGAATTCAGATCCCTGTTCAGTTGGCCTCAGTTTCCTCATCTGCAGAATGGGCATAATACCAGCACCCACCTCCCAGGGCTGTTGTGAAGACAAAGTAGAATGTAAAGAGCTTTGCAAACCTCAAAGCACTAGAAAAATGCAGGCTGTTGTTATTATTTATAATATGCCTTCCACAGTTTCTCTTAATTCCTCACCTTCCTCATTCCTTACAGCACAATTTTGTTCCATTATGTTCATGCACATTCAGCTGTTCCCCAGTCAACAGGCACCCCGACCCTTGGTTTCAGTGTTTTGCTATCACAACAAGTGCTGCTATGAGTATTTTGTTATTTATGTGGCATTTCTTACTGTTTTCATGTCTTCATCTGTAAAGCGAAGGGGTCGGAAGAGGTAGCCTCTGAGGTCCTTTCCAACTCGAAATCTATGATCCCAGGATATGATCAAAGAATATGAAGAGTTTAGTAACTTCTCTCACATAATTACAAATTGTTTTCCAGAGGGGCTGGGCCAATTCAAACTCCACTAATAAGGTATTGGTGTTCTGCCTTCCCAGAGTCCCTCTAGCACTGATGATTTCGATTTCTATCTCCTGATTATTCTCTCTGCTAATTTGGTGGGTGTGAGATGAAACTTCAGAGCTGTTTTAATTCCAGTTTCTCTTATTAGTGACTTGGAGGATAGATATTGAACTTTTAGAGGAAATATTTGATACAAATATGTATTTTCAAAAGATTGTTTCTTGACCAGAGGCATAGCAATTTTATTACTTTAGTAAACTTATTCTGGTTAGAATAGCCTAGATCCCAGGAGGAAACCACATTGAGCAGCTGTCCCTCTGTGTCAGTTCTGTAGGGGGGATAGGCAGGATGTAGAGCACCTAACACAAGCACTAGTGCTTAATAATTGTTCATTGAATGAATGAATTTAGTGGGTATAGCTCCTGTCCTTGAGAAACATGTTTTAATGGAGAAGGCTGCATGCTCTCGACAAGGACACAATACGGAATTATTCAGAGCTACTGGAAATTAAGGTGGCTGTTAGCAACCTGAACTGAACGGTAAGGAGAATCTGAAGAGAATGAAGTGATCTGATCATTATGGGAAGAGTCAAGGAAGGCATTGCAGAGGAGGTGAGCTTGAAGCAGAGCTGGGTTTTTTCATCTTTCTGGCGTCATGGACCCCTTCTCCAAATGATGTTTTTAAATGCATAAAATAACACAAAGGACTACAAAGAAAATCAATTATGTTGAAATGGTAATCAAAATAATTTATAAAACAAATTCATGGCCCTCTTGAACTCTATCCAGAGGCCCCTTGGGGATCCATTAAAGCCCAAGTTAAGAATTCCCTAAGTAGAGGGATGTAACTGGTGGGACAAGAAATGTGGAAGGTAGGAATTTTAGGTGGAGGAGGATAGGAATAGCATGAACAGGGCAGAGGTGAGATGATACATCTCTCCAGAGATAATGTGTGGGGTGTTTGTGGTTTCAGGTACCTGTGACATTTGACGACGTGGCTGTGTATTTCTCAGAGAAGGAGTGGGGGAACCTGGACAAGTGGCAGAAAGAGCTTTACAAGCACGTGATGACAGGCAACTATGAGATGCTTGTCTCCTTGGGTATGGGTTTCCTTTTTAATCGTTTGTTAGAAGACTGTAGAGGCAGTATGGTGTGATATATTGAGTGCCAGCCTTGGAGTCAGGAAAACCTGTATTCAGATACTGTCACCAGCAGCTCCTAGTAGTCTGACTCAGGACAAGTCATTTAAACTCCATGTAGCTCAGGCTGGCTACTCCTGGGGATTTATCTCTGTTGAGTCATAGATGAGTGATAGTCTGCATTGGTTGGGGCGGTTACAACGCCAGGAGTTCCCTGCAGTATGGACTTCCCAGACCCTTTGAGTGTTAGCAGCTCCATCTGTTCCATGGTGGAGTCCAGATCTCATCAGCTCCTTATGGGGTATTTAATTCAGAATTTGGAGAGGAGGAGAACCTTAGAGTCACATGCCCCTTTTTCCTTGTTCCCTCCCCATTAGCATTCTGTTCAGGGGGGATGTAGCAGGTGGTAGTGGCTCGAGAACAACTCACTATAGTCAAACAAGGATTCTAGGGTACAGATATAGAAATCTTCATTTCGTGCTACTGTATAAAAGAGACTTAGAAGCAGGATCTATCCATTGAAAGTATGAATAATGCTTGGGGTCTGACCCTGCCTAGGGCTTAGGATGCTGGCTGAAAATTTTCAGACTCAGACTCACCCTCATGTGCATGTTTGATGCTTGTCATAGAACTTGTAACCAGCAGCAAGGCATTGTTCTGTACCTTATATAGCGTTTACTGAGTCATCCATCCTTCATGACTTCTAGAGGCTTTCATTTCCAGAAGGCACATGTGGGACACAGCTCTAAGGATTATGGTCGTTTTAAAATTAATTCTTCCAGCCACTGAATCCACATAGGCAGCTCAGCAGGAGGCCCACTGAGGAAACCAAACTAAGTCCCACAGAGTACATCTGTGTTCATTAAAATTAGCTTGATTTCATAAGCGGTCTCCCAAATTAGGTTCTACTCTTGCTCTGTTATCATTAGTTAAATCATACTTATTTTATCGAGACCTTTTGTGGATTCAGATGGAGGGTATCTAGTTTCCTCCTAACAGGATTACCTGCTGTTGGTACCCAGTTTTATACTTTTTCAATGTGGTCTGTGATTCCACAGCCTTTTTATTGTGATATTTTGTTAGCGGCGGTCATTGGTCAGATCACAAGGGTCACAGCAAAAGAGACTGTTCTCCCTATTAATTCTGACGCAGGTGCTTTTTCAGTGGCCACAGAACTGGTGGGCAGGGAGGCCATGGAAAATTTTGTATCCCAAGGAGATCTAGAAGGTTTAGGGGGAAAAAATAAATAAAACTTTAGAAAAATTTAAAAAGAAGAAAGTTTAGGAAAAACTGAATGAAGTGATCCTTTCATTGGATAATCATGTTGAGGTTCCCCACCCCTGGAAGTATTGACCTAATACTGGGCTGGCTGTGTTGGAGTGGGGGGTGGGGGACTTTGTTGCAGTGGAAGGAAGGAAGAAGAGAACTAAAGCAAGGGCCTCCACTCTGACAGTAATTCACTCAGCTTATATGTCCTTCGTGTACATTAAATTTGATTAATTGAAAATAAATTAAAGTCACTGATAAAAAAAAAGTCACAGAAATTTACCATTAAAGGCAGCAAGGAACCTATAAAATGTAACAATATAAATAAAGAGGCAGTGTGGGGTGGTAGCCAGGAAGACCTAGCTTTAAGTTCTGCCTCTGAAGCATACTGGTTATTTGGCCCTGGGGTCTGTGTTGTGTTGTGTTTTTGCTTATTTTGTTAAACATTTCCCAATTACATTTAATGTGGTTTTAAATTACATTAAATTAAATTACATTTAATGTGCCACATGCAGTCCAGCCAGTTGTACAGCTGCTGTCTGAGTATCTGCCTAATTGATGCAACATCTCATCTCGTCCTGTCCCTGTCCTGTGGATAGCCTTGAGGAAGTGAAGGGGGTCCCCCATCAAGGGATATGTGGGTAGATGAGCTTCTTGGGGGACTGAGAAAGGGAGAATGGGCCAAGAATTGAAGTTGGGGATTCCCCAAGGGAAAGGGAAGGGGGAAGAAGAGCCATGTGGAAGCTGGAAAGTGAATGGTGATACCCGCAACCAGAAGAGGCCTCTCAAAGCTGGAAAGTCATCTGGATGAACTCTTCCTTCCCCAAGAAGCCACCTGCAGCCTCCAAGGGAGGGGAAGGGACACTAGCGCTGGCAGGCCTTCTCTGCCGACCTGGAAAGCCTTCTAGGACTGGCCTTTCCAGGCCCGGGCACAAACTTTTGTCCAAAGAATGACCTACCTGAGTTTAACTCAGTTTATACTGGCTTATCACCAGAATGATGATGATGGTGATGATGAAAACAGATAATAGCTAGTATTTATATAGTGCTTTAAGGTTTGCAAAGTACTTTACGTATATTAACGATATATATACAGATGAGGAGCCTGAGGCACATAAGAGTTAAGTGACTTTCCCACGCAACTAGTAAGTATCTGAGGCAGATTTGAACCCAGGTCTTCCTGATTTTTAAGTCCTGCACTCTATCCACTCTGCTGCCTAGTTGTGCTGCAGAAGACTGGCTACCACTTGAATATTATTTTTTGGCCAAAGCAACAGGCAAAACCTCCTGCAGTCTGTACTAGTGAAGGATGTACCCATACCAAGATGGCAGATCTTCTGAAGTTAAGTAAAGTTAAATGCTCCTTTACATCATGAGTAGTAAAAAAAAAAAATTAGATTACCCTCCAAATGGCACGGGTTCAATGACAAAGTCAGAGACAGTAGGACTATCATATCGTAAGGGAAGGTAGTGATATTTAGCAATGTGTTCCTAGCCTTTAGAGATGACATCTTGGTCCAGCTGGAGACAGTTGCTAGGCTACAGGAGCCAAGAGTATTACACACTCCGCGGGCATTTCTTACGAGAAGTCAAAAATGAAAACGGGAAAACACATTGGTAATTGTGTCCCTCTCTCTCCCTCCATCAAACAGACTATGCTCTTTCCAAACCTGAATTTTTGACCCGAATTGAACAAGGGGAAGAGCCATGTGTCCAGAATCAGTTGGACTCAGAAGAGACAGAAATAGCAACAAACCCTGAACCTGGTGAGTCTTACTGCTCTGAACTTTCAAGGCCAAAGCTTCACTTAATGACGCAGAAAACTCTGGGTTTGGGGGCAGACTTTCCATTCTCTTCAGGAGCTCTTATCACTGACGTGCTGCTTTAACAATCCCTAATATCTTCTCAGCTGACTCAGCTTTGAGATTTTTTCTTTCCTCTCCAACTTCCTGCTCTCCATTGTGAGATCTGTAATGGAGTGGCCACTGGCTGCCAGAAACAGCGAATGTGATCTCCCTTCCCAGGGATCCGGCCTCCAATTTCTACTAATGATGTGCAGCCGTGTGTTAAGCAAGAAGAGCGAGGACCCAGGGATCAGGAAGACGGAGAGGGACGTGTCCCCATCGCAGACCTGAACAAAGGTGAGTAACAGAAATTGAGCCTTTCTAGGTCTGAAGGGCGAAGGCGGGCGTATTAAGACTCCCTACCGGTGGCTTCTCTTAACACTGGTCTGACATCTCAAATTCAAGAGCCAGAGCTCACTTGGTTTTGAAAGCTGAGTTTTCATCTCTTCCCTGAGGTCCCCCCAGGGGACCCTTCCATCCGCCCTACAGCGGAATTGCCCTATATATTCTGTCTTCTGGTGTGAGCTCCTAGATCAGTGACTCTCATTCTTTTTGCCTCTTCAGCACTTCGAACAGTGTTTAGCACGTAGTAAGCGATTAATGAATGCTTCTTTTCATTCATTCATCACATGGAAAGCGTGGTATTGTGGACATGGACTCAGGAGTTCTGAGAGTTTTGAATCTTAGCGCTGATGCATGTTAATCTGTGACAACACAAGTCATTTCAACTCTTCCTTTTCTGTACACTGGGGATAATAATGCCTGTACTACCTACTTCACTGGGTTGTTGTGAAGAAATCCTTGATACACTCTGAAACGTTATCTGAATTGGGTGGCTGCATGAGGGCTAAGGACAGAGGATCTCGGGAGCAGTATTTTTCCTGATGGCTGCTCAAGGGTCCCCTCAGTATGGCGTGACAGTCTTCCAAGAGAGGCTTGAAGGAGGGGGCACTCTTATAATTCCCAGTTTTTCAGTATTGGAAATAGCAATAATTTTCATAATTATAACATCCTAAGAAGTAAAGGTAAAAAGAACCTGTGGAGGTGATGGGGTGGTCATATGCTATTCTTTCTATGTGTATAATGAGGATGCTGCTGACTCCGTAGGGTATATATTCTAAGATGTGGGGAGGGGTTTATAGCACATTGTGAGCCCGAGCACCTGCAAGGTGACATACCAGAATCCAGAAAGTAGCCTTTGGCCATGGATTGAACGTGGACTGTCCCACAAGGGGATGAATTGATTGGAAGGGTTAATCTGCAAAGGGTGGGATCCACTGAGCATAGAACAAGTTTGACAGCAAACTTTTTAAGTTCTTAGTATGTGCCATGCCCAGTGCTGAGCCCTGGGGAAGCCATGAAAAGCTAGCCCTGCTCCCTGCCTCAAGGTACTTTCATTCTAATGGGATAGACAACCAGCAAACAGTTAAACACAAACAAGATAAAGTACAGTATCCATGGGAAGTAATCTCTGGAAGGGCATTTCTGGGGAGAGGAGGTAGGAGAGCCTGGAAAGGCCTGCAGAAGGTGGGATTTGATCTGACTTTTGAAGGCAAGCTATGAGGGAGAGGGAAGGAGGGATAGTGTCCTTCAAAAATGTCCCAAGTATGGGAGGCTCCTGGGAAAAGGCCCCAAGGAGAGAGGGAATGTCATATCTGAGGAGCAGCAGCAGGCCAGGGTTGCTGGATCAGAGGGATGTGAAGGGAATAAAGTGCAGGAAGACTGAAAAAGAGGGAAAGTGCCAAGTTGTGAAGGGCTTTAAGTGCCAAGCAGGATTTTATATTCAATGATGGAGTTGCTCAGGAACCACTGGAGACCACTGGGGAGGGGAGGCAGGAGCTGGTGCACTGGGACAGACATTCTGGACTAAGAACATCCCTTTGGCAGCTGCTGCAACAAGAAGAATTCAGGTTATAGAGTGTAAAGAACTACAGTGGGTAATAAACTTAGACAATGCATGAAAACAGGAGGTTTTCAGATATAGAAAGATAGACATAAATAGATCCAAAATTTGTGAATCACGGTGCCATAAGTGGTGCTAAGAGTGAAGAGACCTCATCTTGGGGATTGGCAGCAGGGAAAACAAGTCAGACTGATCCTGATGCCTCCCCTGGCCCCTCTTCTGGCATTAGAACACTAATTCCTTCCCCTGCCGCCCCCCTTAGAATGTAAGCTTCTTGAAAGCTGTTGCTTAATCAGTGTTTGTTGATGGACCAAAATTCAGTAAAGCAACTCTGGGCTCCTGACTCTGGACTCTTTGCATCTATAGGCCCTAAAAGAAGTGATGGAATCTACCCTGCCGGGAGGTGGTTGGTGCTTAAGTATGCAACTTTAAAAAAAAAAAAGGCACATACTGAGCCTGGCAACACCTTTACTCTGCACACCTGGCTTGCTGATAAAATTAACAAGGGATTGACCTTTTCTGATCATTCACCTGATATGAATCCATCAACAAGGGTTAATAAGCCCTGCTCTACCCCAGGCATGGGGGTTACAAAGACAAAAACCAGGCCAACCGTGGCTGCTTCCAGGGAAGCACCAAGCACAAATAAAATGTCGGTTAAGTCGGGAGGGACCCTTGCTGATGGGCAATGAGGACAAACCTTCTGTAGGGGGTAGCACCTGGGCTGAGCTTTGAAGGAAGTCAGACATTTGGAAAGTCAGAGTAGAGGGAGTACATTCCAGTCAAGGGGTGGAGGCAGACACAGGGAGACCCAAACTGGACTGTCATGCGTGAGGAACAGAAAGCAGCTGCCTCCACTCTAAGGTAAAGCACGTGGACAGGAATTACTTTTGTTTGTTTGTTTGTTTGTTTTTGCTAGGCAGTGGGGTTAAGTGACTTGCCCAAGGTCAGACAGCTAGTAAATGTTGTATGTCTGAGGCCACATTTGAACTCAGGTCCTCCTGAATCCAGGGCCAGTGCTGTATCCACTGCGCCTAGCTGCCCCAGGAATTACTTATAATAAGTCTTGAAATAGCTAACATTTACTGAGTGCTTTTTTAAGGTTTGCAAAGTGCATCAAGTGAGATGTTATCTCATTTTATCCTCACAACAATCTTATAAGGTAGGCATTGTTCGTTATTATTCTCTCCATTTTACAAATGGGGAAACTGAGGCTCAGAAGTTAACTGACTTGCCCAGGGTTGCCTACTTAGTAAGTACCTGAGGCAAAATTTGAACCCAGCTCTTCAGATACCATGCCCAGTGCTCTAAGCACTATACCACACTACCTTCTCTGGCTGGAGATAGGTTGTAAAGAGCTTTAAATTCTTTTGCAGAGAAGTCTGTTTTATTCTAGAAGCAACAAAGCTCTCTGAGCAAGGGAGTAACATAAGTTAGCGAGTTAACCTCCCTGTGCTTCGGTTTCCTAGGTAGACTGTTGTTGTATTACTATATTAGTGATTGGTAATTTGGACACTGGCTAATTCATTTAGTCATAAATCACAGAAAATTAGTGATAGGACTAAGACAGAGGTATTAAAAAAAAACCCACCTGCTCAACCTGCTTTAGAGGGTTGTTGTGAAGATCAGACTAGATGACTGAAAACTAGAAAGCCCCCAAGAAGAGAGAGAAGATGCCCTCCCCCCACTCCTTTGGCAGAGGTCAGAGGTCTACAATCGGGGCACATTGCCCGTATTTTCAGACTTTCTCTGTGTTGATCCTGTTTTGATAATTTTTTTCCTTCATCTCTTTTTTTTCTTTTTGGTGAGGCAATCGAGGTTAAGTGACTTGCCAGGGTCACACAGCTAGTAAGTATTAAGTATCTAAGGCCAGATTTGAACTCAGGTCCTCCTGACTCCAGGACTGGTGCTCTATCCACTGTGCCACCTAGCTGCCCCCTTCATCTTTTTCTTTTTGTCAGTTTAAAAATATTTGTTATGGGATGGTTTTGAGAGGGGCGAAAGGATGGGAAGCTGGAAGAATTTCTGGTGACGTAAAAAATAACACATCAATAAAAACTTACTTTTTAAAAGAGAAAACGATCAAGCCTTGTATAAGAATGGCCTCTGTTTGTTAGGGCTAGTCCAGGTGAATGACATCTATGTGCTTCTCCTGTTGCAGAGGCTAATCGGGCCATGAGCATAGTGAAGGAGCTGCATCCTGTGGACACCATGGAGAGTCTAGTGCTCCCTGAGCCACTGTCCAGAGGAGCTAGAGAAGGACTTCTCCCTGCCCCAGGTTGCAGCTCAGGCCCTGACACCCCAAACGGCTTCCAGCAGCAGCAGCTCCTGCTCCCAAGGCCAGGCCCTGTGCTGCCTCAGCTGGCCACCTGGTGGACCTCCCCAGCCAGAGAGCAACCACATACTTGTGCTGAATGTGGTAAGAGCTTCCGGCTGAAAGAGAACTTGATGAAGCATCAGAGGAGCCACAGGCAGGAGCCCATGGAGACACAGAGGAGCAGTGGGCAGCAGGGCCCCAGAGCAGCTCTGCAGTGGGAGCCCCCAGGAGACAGGTCTTTCCCTGGTACCTCCCAGGCCAAGAGCTCCCGGCAGAGGGCATCTCTCCTGCCCCGCCCACGACTGCATGCCTGTGCTGAGCGGGGGAAGCGATGCTCGGGGAGGCGGGGCCTGGGCAGACACCCGCAGGGCCATCCCCCACCCCGGCCCTACCAGTGCCCGGAGTGTGACAAGAGTTTTGTGTGTTACTCCTGGCTCAAACGGCACCGGACCCTGCACACAGGGGAACGCCCCTTCCAGTGTCCTGAGTGTGAGAAGTGCTATAGTCGGAAGGAGTACCTGCTCAACCACCAGCGGCTACACACGGGGGAGAAGCCCTTCCATTGCGCTCAGTGTGGCCACAGCTTTATGCTGAAGAGGAGTTTCATCAGACACCAACAAAGGCACACCAGGAAAATGGAGAAGCCTCCAGGATGCCCTCCAGACTTCCTGGGCCATCTGTCCAGTCTGACCAGGGAGAGTTGTGCCCGGAGTCCCCCGGGCCGGAACGGCTGGTTGGGGCCACCTGTTTCAAGGCCCCAGGTGGAGGCACTGCTCTACCCATGGACAGAGGCCAGGGGCCAAGATCCTCCACCAGCACAGAACAGCCCTTTGTGGACTTCCCAGGGCCCCAAGTCCAGCCCCGAAACCACATTTCCAATGGTGAAGACAGAGATGTGGTTATAAGTGGACTAAGGCCAACAAGAATGGTGTGCAGAGAATGGGGCAGGTAGGTGGCATAGAGGGAGACCTGAGTTCAAATCCTGCCTCCGACGTTTAGTAGCTGTGTGGCTCTGGGCAAGTCACTGACTCTTTCTCAGCCTCAGTTTCCTCAAAGCGCTATATCAATTTTAGCTGTTCTCACCTGGGCTGAGAATTGTGGAGGATGGTGAGTATATTTGTTCTATTTGGTTTTCTTTTTCATTTTCTGGGCTGTAGCTTGATGGAATGACAAAAGGCAGTAAACACCTTTTGGGGCCTGTTTCTTCAACTGTAAAATGAGCTTGGATTCCATTGTCTTTTAGGTGTCTTTCAGACCCCTGGTCTGTGTTCTCATACCATCATGTTAGCAGCTGGGAGAGGGGTGAAGAAATGTTTTTCCATTAAGTGAGTAATCTAGGACAATTAGATGAAATGAGAAGAGCCTAAAGTTAGTCCTGAGTCACGGCCCTCCTCCCCGCCCTGCTCTCCCTTCTGGCTGCCATCACACACTGTCAGCTTTCCTACGTGTTGTCAGGGTCTCTCCTCGGCGGGGCTTAGCACTGACCTGAATTAGCAATGGGGAGGTGGTCAGGAAGGGAGCCAGGGTCGTGCCTACACAAAGCAGGTTAAGGAAGAAAGAAGGAAAGAGTGGCCAGGGCCGGGTTAAAACCAAGGGAATTGCCGTGCGTCGAGCGACTTGTGTATTTTCTTTGATTCAGAGTAAACCAGTTGCTGAGGGTGCTTCACCCCCTTCCTTGTTCCCTGTAGGCAGTGTCAGGGTGTCAGGGCTTACAGACTTAGAGGTGGCCATTGAGTTCACCTCCTCATCTTACAGGTGAGGAAACTTAGGCCCAGGGAGGGTAACTGATTTGTCCAAGGCCACAGCAGCAACAAGGGGCAGGGGGCAGCTAGGTGGCACGGTGGATAAAGCACTGGCCCTGGAGTCAGGAGGACCTGAGTTCAAATCCAGCTTCAGACACTTACTAGCTGTGTGACCCTGGGCAAGGCACCTAACCCCAATTGCCTTGCCAAAACAAAACATAAAGGAACAGGGGTCAGAGGAGGGACCCAAGCCTAGGGGCTCTGACTCTAGAATTGCCATTTCTTTTTCCATTGTACCACATGGCCTCCCTAAGATTTGTGCACTGCTCTATATCCATCATCATTCAATCCTCACAACAAGGAGGTACCATTATTCCCATTTTACAAATGAGGAAACTGAGTCTCAGAGAGGCCAAGTGACTAGCCCAGCAGCAACACAGCCAGTAAGTGCCCAAGGCAAGATCTGAACCCAGATCTTCCTAAGTCCAGAGCACTGTCCATTATTCCAGCTACTCCAGTTCCACTCTGAGAAGCATCCAGTCTCTGATGGACAAAAGCTCTGCTTCCAGATCACAACAAACATGAACTTTTTACAATGTTCCCTATGGAGTCTAAATGGAAAAAAGAAAAAGGAGGAGAAGAGAATAAGAGGGTTGAGGCTCTATCCAAAAGCATTGAAACCCTTGCCAAAAAGCTGTTTGCTTCAGAGAAAAGCAAAGGAGAAGCAGTGAAACTTTGTTCTATTATGAAGTGGATCAAGGAGAGAAAACCTGGCCCCAAGCAGCAGGGTGGGGGGAGCAATGGAAAGAGAAACAGGTGGGTTAGTTGTTTCAGATTTAAAAAAAAAAAGGTTTATCTGGGTGCCCAGGAGTGATTAAGTAGTATTCCTGGAGGCTCTTCACTTGATTAGACCCCTTCCATTCTGACATGCCTTACCCATCTTTTATCAATGTCTACATGGCAGAGACCAAAAAGATTTTGGAAATCTAGAGCAATGGCCTCTAAAGTAGGGGTCAGGGTTTGATCCCAGAGGATCGATGGCCTAACCCAAAGGGATGTGTAATCATCTAGGGAGTGGGAAGATAGATCCATCCCACCCACCCAGCAGTAGCCAGTGAGGTTTATCTCCAACAACGTCCCCTAACATTCCCACTTCAGTCCCTCCAGGTGGTTAGCTTCCACCTCTCCGCTTCTGAGCCCAGCATCAGCCCTTCAGAATTGTTATAATCTAAGCTCACTGCACTTACAGCCACGAGGGCAGCTCTGTGGATGCCATTGGAAATATTCCCCACTCTCCCTACTTACCTACTCCCTGTCTCCCAGACCATGTGGTAACTGCAGTGGAGAATGGACTTTACCTTCTAGGGCAGTAAACAATGAGTAAGATTCCCACTTCTACCCCTTTTCACTTTGAGTGGGATAGTATAATTCTAACAGGAAGTCCTGCTATTAATTCACTTGCTATGAGCAGACTTCAGAGTGACACAAAGCATACCATTTTACTGAGCTGACAAGAGGGAGAAATAAATGGAAGTTTGTCTCTTCCCCCACCCCTGCAAGAGTCAGAGTCCAAAAGAAAGATCCTGAGTGGTGGATGTTCCAGTTATTAGAGTTGATTCAGTCCAAGGTGATACAGCTAGGCTGTGGTCTAGAGCCAAGTGCAAGCAAGGCCTAGAATTGGAGGCTGAGCTGAGGCAGAGGTAGAAGGGGTATGGATGGTATGGACTTAATGGTGGTGGCAACAAACTTAATTCAACATGCATGCTAGGAATTGTACCAGACACTGGGGACACAACAAAAAGTAGAAAACAAACCCTGTCCTCAAGAAGCTTACATTCTAGGAGAAGGATTCACCTTCCTCCTCCCTAATGGGCAAGCTGGAGCTCACAAAGTACAGAAGGAAGCAGAGTTCAAGCTCAGGCAGCCTTACAGATGCAAAGGCCCATCAAGAAAAAAGCTAATTGGAAAAATAGCCGAAAAGCTTTTTCCTGAGTACTTTTAGGGGGTTCCCACCAAAAAAAATTATGAGGGGAAAGTGGCTTCTCCTCTAATTTTTTCACCCCCTTATTTATATTCCATTTGTTCAACAAATGTATTGAGCACCTGTGCGTTACATTATAGTAGGCACATAAGAAGTTACAAAAAATATGTACCTTCCATCCTTCTACCTATGATAAATAAGATATGGTCCTTTCCTACACAGAGCTAATAATGTAGTCTCGATGAAGTTAAACAGAATCCATTTTTTAATAATTCGAAACTAACAACATTCCTCAGGCCTGAGCTACCAAGTTCTCAGAGCCAGAGGTACTGTTTAAAAGAAAGAGAAAGGCACAGCATGAGTGGGAGCTGGACCGTGCTTGTCTGTTGTGGGGATTGGCTTTGTGATTCTGCCCCAGTTATTAGCGTTCGCCTCCCCTCCCCCAAACAGTTCTATATTCGCTTTGTTTACATTTCATATTTATATTTTCCCACACCAAAATGTAAAGCTCCTCTAGGGTAGACTTCATTTTTGCCTAGCACCGAGCCTGGCACTTAGGTACTTCATAAATGCTCCTTGAATTGAATGTGTGGACCAGCACATTAAACAGTATTATAGCCACCTTAAATCCTTTTAGAACTAGGCACTGTGTACATCATAAGTAGGTTGCATCTGTAATAAGGATTATTCTTGTTAATTAGGTGCTGCTACAGTGTAAATTTCAGCACCCTCTAAATTTTGGCACCATGGCCAAAGCCTTTGTCCTCCTGCCATGCTTTTGGCCTTCAAAATGTCTTTTATGCCAGTTCTCTTGCAGCAATCGTCCTGTCAGCATGCTGCAGCCTTCTCACTTATGCCACTGGTAGGTGTGATCAGGGACAGGGTTTTCATGTCCTCACAGGAAGAATAACCGCCAAGATCAGAGTGGATTTACCAAAGGATTAAGTGCTCCTGTTTCATCTAGCAGGATCCACATCTTCACTTGATGGGGTTCTTTGGGCAACACTAATCCCTACCAATTTGTCCTCTATTCATAGGCTTATTTTATCTATATTCTTTCCTTCCCTTTCTAGCATAACAACCTAATTCAAAACTCACCTCTTCTAACTCTCACAAGATTCATGTGTCTAGGGTATTCTAAGACTTGGGGCTCACTTTCTCTTTTAAGGGGAAGGAGCACTAGATTGAGAATCAGGAGTCCCAGATTCTGTCTAAGTTTCTGCTAGCTGTGTCACATGGGTAAAGTCATTTGGGCTTTAATTTATCTTCAAGCATCCCTTCCAATTCTACAATTCTGTGATAGGATTTGAAGCGACTTGGAACTTTCACTAGTGGTTTGGATTACTTACAGGTGGGAGCTGTCCACATGCGCCAGTGCTGATCAGAAGCCAGTAACATGGTGTGACTGGTGAGTGTCCATGGGGAAGAAGGATTTACCCTTGCTGTACCCTCTAAGTTTCGGGGATTCAGTTCAATTTAAGAAATGTGTAAGTGCAAGGCACTATGCTAAGTGCTGTGAATCCAAAAATTTAAAAACACAGATCCGGGCCTATAGTAACTCGTTCTACTTTGAGAGTACTACAGTACACAGATTAAGACAAGGTAGGGAGTGTCAGGAGCAAATGATACCCAAATAAAGTGCTCTAGGAATAATTTAGGAGTCAGACAGTCAGCAAACATTTATGAAATGCTTCCTATGTGCCAGACATTGTGCTAAGACCCGGGGATAAAAGGAAAGGCAAAAACACTACCTGTCTTCAGGGAGCTCACATGGAAAAAATGCATTCTGTTTTGAGGATGACTGAAGGAAGGTACACCTGAGCTTAGACTTGAAGGAAAATAAGGCTTTTAGAATCTTTATTAGAAGATTCTTCTTAGAATTCTTTCTTTTTAAATCCTTTAAAAAGCTTTGGAAGCTTTTTTTTTTAGAAGGTGAAAAGGGAGTACATTCTTAGAACGGGGGATGACCTGTGCAAATTAATACAAGCAGAAGATGGCATGTTGCTTCCAAGAAGTAACTAGTATCTCATTTTGGCTAGAACGAGTGTAAGTAGGAGAGTAAAATGAAATAAGGTAGAAATCATGTAGTGGAAGGGAACGTCTGAAATGCTAGAATGATTTAAAGGAATAGGGATCCACTAAAGGCCTTTGAGCAGGGGAAGGACAGAATCACGCCTTGGGAAGAACATTTTTGGCCAAAGTAGAAAAGATGGATTGCAGAAAGTTCTCAGAATTACCTTTCCAAATAACTTTAATAGACTGGCACATTGATAGTGTGATGTGTCCGATTTTTGGTAGTAGGAACACTCCCTCGAGCCATGCAGCAAAGGCAGGCAGACGCCAACCCTTCCTTCTCATCCATCGCTACAGGTCTTGTCCGCCTTTTTGCATCAATCCTCCATAGCGGGCATACCCAATCCAAAGCAGGCCGATCCATTCTCTTTCTCTTTAAGGAGGTCTAGGGTGCCAATAGACGGCTTGGTTTGTCCCCCGGGACCTGTCCGCTCCCTCCCTCACGTGAAACACAAGGCGTGGGAGGTAGCTGCCCCGGCATTCCTGTGCCTTTGGGGGCATTTTGGCCCTGAGATCTCGGTCGTGCATGGCCTCTGTGGGGTTAACTCTGGTGGCAGAGGGCCGGGGGCCTCACGACTCCGAAGCAGGTACTACATTTTACAAATGAGGAAACCGAGGCCAGAGCTCGTAAAGGCCGGACCAAGGGTCACACAGATAGGAAGGGTCAGAGGCAGGAGTTTCTAAGTCCAGCAGGAGAGCCGCTCACAGCGGGAAGGACCCAGCCCCCAGACCCCCAGCACGGATGCAGGGCTCCCCTGGAGCCCGGCCTGGGACTGCGCGCACGGTGCGGAGGCGCCCTGCTCTTAACTCAGAGGGAGAATCCGATAGGCTCGTTGGGCTTTATTTGACGTGAAGCAAACCCAATGGAGTGGCAGGAGAGGCAGCGGAGCGAACCAACGGAATCCTCCGAAGGCGGGACGCTCCTATAACCAGCCCGGCCTCCTCCATCATTGGCCGTTTGTTCGGCGGACGGCCGAAGATTGGTGGCCGGGAAGGAAAGGGTGGAGCCCCTGCTGTGACTGAGGCCTTGGCTGAGCACGTGAAGGTGGGCGGCGGCGGTGGAGCTGTCAAAGAGCTCCGGGGGATCCGGGCAGCGCCTCCGGGTCTGAGTGAATCCTGGCAGGTTGGGGAAACTTAATCCTGGCCGCCCTACCCTTCGCCGGGCCTGCCGGGGCATTGAGCCCGCTGGAGGAACCGAAGACGTGCCTTCCCCCAGGCGCCCCACCCTGGAGCCTCACCCCACGATCCCACCGTGCCCCGCTGGTACAGTGCCCCTCTTCACCTGGCCCCGTGCCCCCCCAGGTACAGTGAGTGCCCCTTTACACCTGGCCCCGTGCCCCCTAGATACAGTGCCCCCCCCTCACCTGGCCCCGTGCCCCCTAGATACAGTGCTCCCCTTCACCTGGACCCGTGCCTCACCTTCACCTGGCCCCTTACACTGTTCCCTTCTTAAGCTGCCATTCAGATCCCCTCCCAACCCTCTTCGCTGCCATTTCCAGACACCTTCGGTCTGCCCCTCCGTGTCTTTCCTATACACTCCCAACGTCCTCTTAAACTGTTCTTCAGATCCCCACTCACTTCCCACCCCCTCCCACCCTGCTGCATTCTCACCCAGTCACCCTCCTACCCTCTTATACTGATACCTACTCTCTCCCACTCTCCCACACTGCCCCCCCCCCGACCCTCTTTCGACCTCTCTCTTCACTGTGCCCAGGACCAGAAGCAGACTTCCCCCTTCACTTAATCCCTGACCCTTTCCTGCCTTCCCCTTATATTGCCCCCCAGGTCCTCTCTGACTAGCCCTGTTACACTGCTTCCCACCCCATCCAATCTCCCCCTTCACTGCCTCCAAACCCTTAATATGCCCCTCCACACCAACCAAGCCCACCTGGCCTCTTTTCTGCATTCTAGATCCCCTCTTACCTTGCCCCTTCACTGTCCCCTAGGTCCGCTCCCATCCTCCCCCTTCTGTCTCCCCGAGACCCACTTCCTCTCCCTCTTCTCTGTCCTCCCAAACTTGGGCCCTTTCCCTTCATGGCCCTATAGGACTTTCCTCATCCTTTCCTATACAGTTTCCCAACTCCCCTCCCCCATCCCACTCCTCTTCTAACTTTCCTTTACATTTGTTCACCTGAGACTGTCTCCTGCCATTATACTGCCTCCAGAATGTAGTCTTTACACTGTCCCCCTACAGCCCACCCTCCTTTTTCCTTACACTGCCCGCAGCCCCCCTTTCTAAGCTACTGCCAGCCCTTCCCACCAGGTCCTGAAAAGAGAATTCCTTCTCTCCAATATTCTGCTCCTTCTTGAGCTTTCTGGATACGTGTAGAGCATTGAAGGGCATGCCTGGATTTGAAGTCAGAGGCCTTCTGTTTGATGGAATCCTAATAAAGCTGCCCTCAGACCCAATATTCTAACTCCCTTAGGGGCCCCACTGAACAGCAGGCATGTCCTGATTTAACTACATCTGGCTTTAATCACACCACAGGCCGCCAGACTCAACACAGCCACCGCCCCTAACTAACCATTGCCCCTAGATCCAATTTGCATATTGGAATAGGTGTGTCCTTGTACTCAACCACAATCACATTTAGCCCAAGCCAGGACCATTCATATCTAACTATCCATCTTGACCCGACAGGAACACAATAGCTAGCCAATCAGAAAGCAGCATGACCAGGATGTTTGACTGTGGAACCATGGAAGGGACTTCCTCCCTTCTGTCTTTTTAATACTCATCATTTCTGTTGTGTAATCTTTACCCTATAAAAATCCATCTTGCTTTCCCTGAAGTTTCTGGTTCCTCTTGGAACCTAGCCCACTTCTGAGAGACATCAATCCTCAATAAATACCCGTACTTGGATTAGAGGTGGCCTGACTCTGAATTCTTTGAGACGGTGCTGCCACAACACACCATGAAACCACAGCAAGTTGAAATCAGCTCAGTGGATCTTAGTTTCTTTGTTAGTAAAGTAAGAGGTTGGAATAGATAACCTTTGAGATGCCTTCCAGCTTTAAAAATATGATGTTTTCCTATACATGATTCTCCCCACTCCCCAGTGCCTTTCTCTTGAGAAATCTTTGGAAAACCCCATTCCCTTAGCTTGTTCTTGTCTATCCTTACTAGTCCTACCCTGAACCATATAATAATGATAGCTAGCATTTACACAGTGTTTTGACATTTATAAAGTACTTTACACAGGCTCACTTATATTTAACCGTACCCAGAGAAGGATTACCTTTCCTCAAATGCCCCATATTTCTTTGAGATGTTTTATTCTATTTACTACGTCACCTTTCTTGATTCTGTTCATCATCTATCTGTAAAATTAAAAGGGAGAACTAGGGGGTCTCAAAATTTTATCTCAGTTCTAAGTCTATGTACCTTAAGACCTTTACTACTTTCCTTTTCCTTATAAGCCCATGAAGCCCTTCGGAGCCACCACCATCCCCACTATCATTCCATCTCCTCATTTTTCCTTAAGTGTTTTAAATTCTTGGTTTTTAAAAAGCTGTTATAAAGCAAAACATCAGAGACTGAAGGAATCTTAGAGATTTTCTAGTCCAACCCAGTCTATTTCAGATGAGGACTCTGAGGCATACATAGACTGGGTAAGTGACCTACCTGCCCAAGGTTAGACAATTAGTGATGAGTAGAGCTAAAACTTAGGGCCTAGGTCACCTGATTCCTAGTCCAGCGGCCATCAATTCTGCTCTAGAGTCTTATGATTCCAGCATCCTAGCCCCTTTATTTCTGCCTGCTGGCCCTTAATTTGTGAGTGTCCTAACTTCTTGACCCCATTTCTAAATGCATCTAGCACACTCTGCCTGTGTGTTCATCCCTGTACCCCATTATTTCCCTCTTCCCATGGTCCCCACCTTCACAATCACTCAGTAGTGCTCTCCTATGTAACTGCTCCTGTACCCCCAAGCTACACTTCTGTTTTGAATGATTAAATATGAAACTTCCTTGACTGACCTCACCTCACTCTAATTACTCTTTTTCTCTTATTCCAAAAGTGTTTAAGTGAAGTTTAAACTATATTATCATGTGTTTGTATAAACCTCTCTTATTCAAAATGAAGATATTTTAGAGTAAGGAGACCAGTATTCAAATTCCAGTTTAGGCCTAGAAACCTTTGCACCGATTGTCCTTGCCTAGAACGTTCTCCATCCTCCCTTCTGCCTCTTCATCTCTGGCTTCCTTCAAGACTTAGCTCAAATGCCACCTTTTATAAGAGACCTTTGCCAGTGTCCCCAGCTGCTAGTACCTTCTCTAAGATTACCTTCCCTAGGCTCTTTGTGTATCTTACATAGACCTATTTATTGACCTGTTATTTCCCCCTTTGGAATGTGAACTCCTTAAGGGCAGAGACTGTTTTTGCCTTTCTTTGTACCCAAGCTCTTGGCACAGTACCTTGAATATGGTAAACACTTAATAGATGCTTGCTGACTGACCGACATAACCTTAAGCCTTAATTTTCCTTATTCTGTAAATGAAGACTCATTACTTGGACTACATGCCTCACCAAGCCTAGCACGTAAAAAGGCACTCAATAAATGCTTGTTGACGACTCCCAGGATGTTATGATAAAAGTTCTTTGCTAACTCAAAAGCACTTTGTAAATGTGAATTATTGTTATAAGGATCCAATGAGTGAATATATAGGAAGACACTGTGAAAGGTATAAAAATGGTCAGTGCTTATATATAGGGAGAGATGGGAAACTGGTTTCCCTTTTTCAAGTGAGATAATGTAGGTAATGTGCTTATAGACGATAGCTATTATTATTATTATTATTATTATTATTTATTATTATTATTATTATTATTATTATTATTTCTCACACCAAGTTAGAAACATTGGTTATATCCCCACTCTAAGATCCTCTCCTCCAGTCCCCATGGCAATCCCTTCCAGAAATAGTCCAATACCATTCCTATGCTCTATGTAAAGCTCTGTGCTTTTCTGGTCCCAAAGTCCTCCAAACAGATCAGACCAACCAAACAAGCACACTCTTAAACGTCAATGAAGATAGGAAATAAAGAATGGAAGTTGGTGACAGAATTATCCATAGCAGGAAATTAGCAAGGCTCCACAATATGAGGTTATCAGAGCATCACAGATTTACAGCCAGAATGTCAGGGGTCATCTGATCCAACCCCCTTATTTTACAGATGAGGAAATAAAGCCCAGGGAGGTGTTGTGTTTTGCCCAAGTTTACAGGTAATACATGGCAGAACTCAACTCCTCTTACCGTACAGAGCTTTCCACTCAATCATGTTACCTGTTACTCATGTTCTAGGTGAATTAATGTTCCAGAAACATAACATCTATTCATGTCTGCCCAATTGTATCCCCATAACACATTCGAGGTCAAGCTTTCTCCTGAGATCCCCCAGACATTCCCAGGTGGTCTCTGGGTCACTTGCCCTTTGTCCTCAGTGACAAGGAGCAATAGTGACTTAAAGTTCCTGAAAACCCTGCTGAGACCCTGTGAGTTTGCCCAGGGCCAGCCTGCTCTGTTAACTCTGCATGTAGTTATCAGCCTGGAAGCAGTTATGATGTTTTGTAGACTTTCACAGACCTTATCAACTAAATAGTGGGAGGGAGGAGCAGCCACATGGTGCAGCAGAGATCACTGGATTTGGAATCAGAGGACCTGGGTTTGAATCCTAGCTCTGCTCTCTGTGTGACCTTGGGCAAGTCATATAATCTCCCTATGCCTCAGTTTCTCCACCTGTCAAATGACTAGACTTTTAAAATCACTTCCGCTTCTAAATCTGTGATCCCATGACCTATCAGTAGGGGCATTTACACTGTACTAAACCAATAGAACTTTAAGATTAAACTGAGGATACCCCAGTGATAACACTAGCACTACGATAGTGTCCTGACCTCTTTGAAGTGTGTCCCCTCGATAAGATATTCAGGGCTACTCTTGTGAAATATTTTCAGCAGACAGACATGTAAGTCTGGCAGGGCACCTCATAAATCTTTAGAGCATTTTTACATTAAAGAAATGTTTTCTGTTTCTTCCTAGCTTGCAGGTGTCTCACGTATGGAAGTCCATGTTCCTTGCCAAATGCTGCTTTCCTCTTATTCGGAATTTTGCTTCTGATCATGCTACATGTCTGCTGTGCTCAGGGGCATACACTTACTGCTAATTAAGTGGGCAGATGGTAGGTAGGAACTGCTCATTGGGACCAAGAGTCTCCGGTCATTGGTTGGTCTAAAAATTAAACTCTAGGCTACTTTGCAAAAAAAAGTTTTATTGAGAAGAAACTGGCTTCTAATTCTCCCTTCAAAATGATTTACTGCTTAGCTTTGAAATGTCAAAACGCCATAAGTGGTGCCTATAAGAATTGAACTGTTACTTTTTATGGCTTCCCATTGCAAAACCTGCCATTCGTGGCACAGTGGATTCACAACATAGGCCGAGAGATGAAAATCTCATCCAGACACTAGCGCCTCTGCTCCAGATACTTTGAGGACAAGCTGCCTTGAAACAGATCCTCTGAAAATGAAGAAAAATAGGTGGCTGCTCAGGGGAGCGATTCCTAAGAAGTTCATCTTGGGGGACAATGGAGCCTGGCTCATCGGTATCCCCCAGAGCTTGTGCTTCATTTTGGAAAGACACAAAAAAGGACCCTCCAAAGGGATCACGTTTCTTTATATGTATGCCCTGAGAGTACTCAAGTGCAGCTTAGTTTGAAGAAATCTAGGGATGCCTAGACCACATCTTAATCCCACATCTTAACATTCTGTGTGGAATCAGTAAATTAGTCACTGACTACCACTCATTTTTATTTTCTAAGTTATTGTCCATGTCACAGTAACACACATGACTGGGTGGTGGAAGACAATGCCAGGAAGTACAAGACTTGGGTTGAAGTCTTTTTCTCTGTCATTAGCTATGAGACCTTGGAGAAGCTTCTCAATCTCAGTTGCTTCCTCTTAGTAAAGTCAAGTCAACCAGCTTTTATGTCTAGCAAAATTCCAAATGAGAGGGAAGCAGTATTTGGTATAGAAGGTGGGTTTCCACAAATGAGATGCCTGCAAGCCAGGCACTGTGCTAGGTGCTGGGATACAAAGAAAGGCAAAAAACAGTCCCTGCTCCCATGCATTTTTGAGTGCCTACTGTTTGCAAAGGGGCAGCTAGGTGGCATGGTGTATAGAATGCTGGCCCTGGAGTCAGAAAGATTCATTTTCATGAGTTCATATCCAGCCTCAGATACCCTAGGCAAGTCACTTAACCCTGTTTGCCTCAGTTTTCCTCATCTGTAAGACTATCTGGAGAAGGAAATGGCAAAACACTCCAGTATCTTTGCTAATAAAACCCCAAATGGGATCACAGAGTCAGATATGACTGAAAAACAACTAAACAAAAACTGTGTATGAGGCACTGGGGATACAAGACAAAATGAAAAACAGTTCCTTCAAGGAATTTATTGGAGAAGAAATATAAAATTTAAACAGATAAGTAAGTAGAATATAATTTGAGAAGGAAGGGGAATGAGAAAAGACTTCCCACAGGGCGTGGCACCAGAGATGAGCCTAAACAGAAGATTATGATACAATATTTCATCTGCCTGAAGTCAGTGGCGCACTTTGCACTGCATATGTTTTGTGTTCAGAACCAAGGCTGCAGAGAAATTGTGTGATGCAGGAAGGGTATGCACTGCCAGAAATACCTCGGATTAATTACATGTTGATTTTTAATTAAGTTTTGGTGGTTGTGCATTCAGAAACCTTTTACTATTGCCAAATTTTCCGTGACCCCATAGGGGGTTGCAACCCACAGTTTAAGAAATGTTGGCTAGACCTTTTGAGGACCCATCCAGTGTTTAGATCAGTTGTTCTGTGAACTTTTTTTATTCAAATATTGCTGTTTTAATGCCTTGAGCTAAGTTACAAAAATTTAGGATGCCTTTATGGCCTCCATGCTAATCTAAATCTCATATCACCACCATTTGGAGATGAGAATACAGGTTCATTCTGTCCTTTTGGGGCCTTTTAGCTGTCCTGTTCGGCTTAGAGAACAGCAGGCCACATGTCTGGCCACTTCCTGTAGCCACTGGCCCCACCAGTCTTCCGTTCTGCTCTCTCATTTGGGATGCCCAGTTGCACAGATAACGTAATTGGCTGGAAATGCAGCCAGATATAGCTTTAGAAGATTTGGATTTGAGTCCCAGCTTTTCCATTGAATAGTTGCATAACTTTGGGCAAATCACTTCATCTCTCCAGGCACCTCAGTTTCCTTATCTGTACGGTGAGGATAATAATATTTAGACTGCCTCACAGAGGTCTAGTTGAGATCAAATGTAATAATGTATTAAGGTGCTTTGAAAACTTAAAGCACTACAGCATTGCCATTTCTCTGTCTCAGACCATCAGCCTAAATATCAGAGAACACTGATGTTACTACATGGCACATGGGTGTTCTTCCTTTTTACTGTGAGGGTAATGTTCTTCCTCTCTCTGGATTAAAACCTCCACCTGTTGTTTGTGAGCTAGGTCTTTAGCCCTTAAATCATTACATCAAGTTTATTTCTCTTTAGAAGTTATGGAGAGTTCATTCCACTATAATTCTCAATTTCAGAAGCTAACCAACAATTTTTGGCTAAGAAGCTAAGTTTCTAGCACAGTTTTACCCATGCAATACATACTCAATAAAAGATGCTTTTGTGGAAAACGAAATTGTTGGAAGTGATTATCTGAGGCTGAAAATAGGTGGCGGTAATGAGTACTCCAGAAAAGGCCATCTGGATTACACCAAGAGAGGTGAGATTTTTTTTTTATCTCTCCACAGAATTGAGATGGAATAAGAGCCTTATTAAAAGTGTATCTTTAAGTTATTATCTGCCTTTTCTTATCCCTACACATCCCTCTCTCTCCTTTTCAGCTTTTGTAAGCCTTGTTATTTTGTGTCATTTGGCAAAATGACAGGTGAGTCAATAAGGAAATCAGGTGTCCCCATGTAACCATTTCATATCTGTCTTATGGCAGTGTTCCCACCAGTGGGGACAGTCTTACGAAGCTTTAGGGGGTATGTTATTTTTACAGTGCTTTTAATTTTTTCTTGCACTGGCATGTCTGCTATCTTACTTGATCCTCTTAAGAGGCAGAGAAGAGAAGGCAGAGGTTATCCTCATTTGACAAATGAGGAAACTGAGATATAAAGAATAAGTGAATTAACCGACATCACAGTGTTAGTCAATGGAGAGCCAAGATTGGAACCCTAGATCTCTTGACTCCTAGCCCATTTATTTTCACCAAATCATTTTGCTTCTAGCCTCCAAGTACATCAGAAACTTTTAATAAAAGTAAGCAGGGTATGTTAAAATATAAGTATTTTGAGCATATAATGTATATTGTTTCAGTATACACATACTGGACATAATGTCCAAGAAGGAAAAACCTTAGATCAATAGCTGAAGGATTTTTATAGGAAAGTGGTTAGAGATTAATTATAAATCTTTGATCTTGCTTGGAAAAGGTCAGATTTCACCCATGTGTTAGAAATTTGGTAATTTTTTAAATTTGAAATTAGCTCAAAGGGGATTTCATATCACAGTTTCTTGGATATCAGGAACACTGAGTTTCAAAAAGCCCAGTAACATCCCCATCCCCATCCCCTCATCTTTTCCTGTAGAATGGCCTTGTTTCTTTGTGGGAGCCAGCACTCAGGAACCAATTTTCTCCATATTGTTGAACTTGAAATGTCTGCTTTTAATAAAATGTGATCATTTAATCTTTGACGATGATTCTTGTCATTGTTAGTTCTGATTCCAGGACAAAGAGATTCAGCTTCTTTGTCATTTCAGTTCTGAGAACATGGTATTCCAGGATTCAGAGCTATATGACATCACCATGTTGCTGTTCTGGTGGTGAAAGAGAAAGACGCTTGTCTAGTGACTTTTAGCCTTCTTCCTCCCACTTAATTCCAGGCCATCTCATCCATCTGTAGCACTTGCCAAAGATAAACACACGCACGTGCTAATTGGATACGCTGCCTGTCCAGCCGTATGTCAAGGTTAGATGTTCAGTTATGATATCACTTTTATAAGTATCAAGTTAATTAGTTATTCAGTTTTCACTCATATTTATGCTTCACTATTGTCATATAGAGCTCTATATTTTAATAAGCCTAATTGATTAGAAAAGTGTATTTGCTTATTTATTTCAGCTATATCCCCAGGAGGAGTGTGAAATATAACCAAAGCGCCACCATTATCATTTCTGACAAAGCACTCAGGTAGAAGTAAGGAGCCTCCTGCGTTCTAGCCTTATAGACAGAAACCTCCAAAGTAACGGCAAACCCTGGCTCTCCCTTGTGGGTTACACCTCTCCTGATCATGGTTCACTCAGTTCTAGTTTGGATGCCAGCTGGTACCCCTGTACTACTTGAGTGATAGAAAATGTTTTGTCTACAATGTTACCAACTTTTGGTGGAATTGTTGATGCTTTCTCAGACAGCGTTCCTAACTAAATTTGACATCCACTATGAATAAACTATACCCCTGAGTGTTGTTTACTTTGCTACTCTTACCCCATAATTTATATTCTCCCTCCTTCTTATGTTTAACTCATAACCATGCTGTCCCCAGATCCTCTCCCGACCTAATGGTTTTGAGCTGTCTCTGTAGATTTGGCCTCCTACAATTAGTCCTCTCGAACTTTGCCATTGCCGCCTTTGCTTTCTGTAGCCTGGCCGCGGTAAATTGTCCCAGAGCCTTTTCCTGTGCTAATATGGCGTTCATGATCTTTTCCCCTTTCTGACCCATGGCCCTTGTTTTGTAACTCTCTAAAGTACTCACTGTTAATATTCTGTATTATTGTTATGTGTGTACTCGGCTAATTCCCCTCTTCAGCTATAAGAACAGGACCACATCTTGTCCAAACTTGTATCTCCTCCAGTGACCAGCACAGTGCCCTGGACAGAAGTGATTAATAAATGTTTATTTAATTGAATGTGTGTACCTTCTCAGCTGCAGAGAAAGCTAGGAAGTGTGTTCACATATTAAATCCTGATGTCCCACTTCCTGATTTTGACAGCATATCTAGAAAACTGATTGAACTCACTTATTAAGATCTTTCTAAAAGTCCAGCTCTGCCCTTCCTATCTGCAGTCTGTTTTGTCCAACACCCCAGTTCAACTCCCACTGGTCCCCCAAGTGTAAAAAGTTCCCAATCTGTTAAATTTCCCCAAATACAAAATCCATTCCTATAAAAAGGTGATGAAAAAATGAGAAGGAACACTGATTGACACTCGTGTTCATGTGAGGTTTTCATATTTTTTTAAATTACTGTAAGAAGAGATATTTCACTTTCCCTTTACACAGATTTTGTCAACCTATTTCCATTGAGAGCATCATTAGACAAAATTACACATTCATTTCTCTAACTTTTTTTTTCTTGAAACAGGCTCAGCAGCCACCACACTTGATGTTAAACCCAAATGAAACAGGAGGAAGAGTTGTTTTTCAGGAATCAACAGGATTCTGAGAGCAAGGATGTGTCCATAGGCCGGTGCAGAAGTGAGAACTATAGCTGGGGGTCATAAGTCCTGAGAGATAAATACTGGCAGACACAGCAGTTTCTCTTGTGGCACAGAAAAAGCAGAAGAAGGATCTAATTCACTGGAGTCAGAGGTTTATTTGTAAACCAGAATAGTTCTTAAGGGTAAGGGCAGACAGATAAAAGGGGGCCTATTAATCAACCAGTGATAAGTATCTATTTAGCACCTGCTGAGTTTCTAACCCTGTGTGAAGGAGCCATCAAAGTAGAAGACAGGGTTCTTCTCTAGTTTGTAATCTGTGTAGAGAAACTTGACTAGACAGCCAGGAAACTAGAAAGCAATGCAAGGCTTGAAAACTAGGCTTCCCTGAACCAGATTTGACCTTGGGGGATTGCCCAACAAACCATGTGTTACTAGTTTGTTTTGCCTCCATCTAGAAGGAATTTCAAAATCTAGCTCATGTTACCATCCACAGAGAGAAGTGACAGAGCCCTAGCTCTCCGTCATTCAAACATTAGGTAACATTGTGTATTAGAATATAGCCTTTTTTTTCACAGAAAGTGTGAAACACCAAGGATTCACAGGCCACCCTCCTGCCCTCTGGTAAGCCCCACATTTGCCCTCTTTCTAGGCCTTGTGGTACTACCCTTTACGGTGTGAATTTTCAGTGTAGAATAGTGGAAAGAGTGGTTCAAATCCTTCCTCGGACAGCCCATGAGTCAGTCACTACTTCCCTTCCTGGGCTTCAGAGGCTGGGCCAGATGCCTCTGAGGTCCTGTCCATCCCTTGTGGCTCCTCCAGCTCTGGGGCCACTCACCTGTTCCTCCTCTCTTCAAGCTGGACTTGACTCTCCTTCACACTGGGCATTCCCACACTGAGGCCTGTTTGCAATTCTAACCTGCCAGTCCTCCTCCTGCCTCCATGCCCTCACCTCTGCTTCTGTTCTCCTGGCTTCCTTCAAGACTCAGCTCAAATCCCACCTCCCCAGGAGGCCTTTTCCAGTCCCCTGAGCTGTTAATGCTGTCCCCTCTCAGTGTCTTCCATGTACTCTCTATGTATATCGATCTACCTAGTTGCTTACCCATTGTATTCCCCTCCCCCCATTTTAATATAAGCTCCCTGGGGGCAGGGACTATACTTTTGCTTTTTTTCATATCACAGTGCCTAGCTCATAGAAAGTGCTTTACAAATGTTTGTGGACCAAATGACAGGACCGAGGGGCCTTCATTAATCACTGTACACTGCTTTAAGAGATGGTGGGATCCTGATCAAAACTGAAGTTCAGGATTGTGCTGAAGACCTCTGCCACAGGATAGGCTGTTCTCAGAAAAGTCAGAAGAGACATGCTTGCCCCTCTCTGACGACAGTATCGATTTTGAGAGCCAATGGAAGTCTGAAACACAGCCAATTTTCCTACAAAGAGAGGTGGTCAAGCAGAACCAGGTGTGGAAGAGGAGGCTCAGCCTAAAGGTGGTCTGCTCCACAGAGAAAGTGCTCCCAGGGAGTCCCAAATACATGTCCTGACTGCAGGAAAAGCTTCATGCTGCAGAAAGAGTTTTTTTTTTTAAGTCAATTGGGGTTAAGTGACTTGCCCAGGGTCACACAGCTAGTAAATGTCAAGTGTTTGGTCTGAGGTCTGATTTGAACTCAGGTCCTCCTGACTTCAGGGCTGGTGCTCTATCCACTGCACCACCTAGCTGCCCCAGAAAGAGTTTTTAAAACACCCGAAAATTCACCAGCAACAACAAAGTGTGTCATACATATGCGCTGATTGTGGAAGAAATTTTAGTAGCCATATTTCTCTTGTTCAGCACCAAAGGTCTCACACAGGAGAGAAACCATATAAATGCGCATATTGTGAGAAAAGCTTCACAGAAAAACCCAGCCTCACCAACCACTTAAGAACTTACCCCGTTTACCTGCCATGAATTTGAGAACTGCTTTCAGAAAGGACTGTCTGCTCTGTCACAAATCCCCTCCACAGAAGAAACCTTGTCTAGAGTCTGAATGTAAGGAAACCAGCTTTTAAAAGTAATTCACATAGGTCAAATGAAATGTTAATTCCAGGGAAAATTAAGTAGGAAGCATTTCACTAAAAAAAAAAGTAACTGTATAAGCATATCTAATTTATTTTTAGCTACTTATTTTGTGGTAGCTTCAGCTGAAAGGAGATAAGAAAAGATAAGGAGATTAGTTTATTGATATTTGACAGTTGTCTATAAATAGACTTCAGGTTCTCTGTCCCTTGGTTCTTAGGAAAACATTCAAGAAGGGATAATAGGTTTGTAATCACAAGCAAACAGCAACTCAAGACCTCAGTAGCAGGAATCATTCCTTCCTAATTCTGGCGAAAAGCTTCAAGCTATCTGGAAGGAAATTACAAGGAGAGAGTCAGTCCTTTAAAGTTTTTATTTCTGTCAGTCTTTAAACTTAAGAAAGATGAATTTCACTGGTATGGACTTCTCTTTTGTTAAGAAGTCCAGGTAGTTCAACTGAGACTTGGCCAAAGTTTTTGAAGGCCAAATGAGCATTCATTTTGTAGAAGGAGTCAGGAAAAGCATCATCCAGGAAGGTGGTTTGCTTCAGCATGATAGATGGCTGATTATCTCTTTCAGAGAGAAAGAATGTCTACACAGAAAATGTCTTTGGATAGAAAACAGTATTAGGGTTGGTTATTTTTCCTTCTTTGGGACAGCTTCTGAACTTTACTCCCACCTGTGCCCATGTTAGAGCTAGATTGTCAAGCCTCTGCTCCATCCCATTTGTAGTCTTTTTCTTTATAAATCATGCTTCATTTCCAATTTTTAGTTCAATATAAAAGTATAATCATACATCTTGATGAAAGCCCAAATTCATTTTAGTTGCATTGAATGCAATTAAATTATAATCATTTTGAACTCAGGTCTTTCTCACTCCAGGCCCAGTGCTTTATCCATTGTGCCACCTAGCTGCCTCTTAGAATCACTTTGTATCCCATTCATACAGTTATTCAGTATTACAAATCACTTAATGCACCCCCTATAAAATAGGTAGTATTAGTAGGATAATGCCCATTTAAGAAATAGGAAAACTGAGGCTCATAGAGCTTAATTCTTAGATAGTTGAACTGAGAGCTGAACCTAGAATAATGCCAGCTTTTGAAGGCCAAATGAGTGTTCATTTTGTAGAATAAGTGTCATGGAAAGCATTATCCATGAGAGTAGTTTTGGCTTGACATGATAGATAGCTGATTATTTCTTTCTAGTCATCTGATAAAAAAAAAATTTTCACATCGCAAATCACAATCTCTTTCCAGAGCTGGCTAAGACTTTATTAGACTCAAAGCTGTGTCATTTGGGAAGGAGGATTGTGGGCAGACATTCCCTCAGACATGATATTCAACTTGCTGATGGTCAACAAAGAGTCAATTCTGTCCCCTATTGGAGAAGAATGAAAAAAGAAAATGGGTCAGAGAGGCTCAGAAAATGAGAAATTAGGGAAACAAAATACAAGGTATCTGTATGGGCTGTTATAAAATGAAGGGGCTTATCATTAGAATTCAGAAAAATCCTTACCTCTAGTACAGGACAAGGTACCAGATGGTCTAGAAAGGAAGAGGTTGTATCTCTGTTCTAAAAACCTTTAAGTATAAATACATATCCTGGCCAGAATGGGATGCTTATCTTCCTGTTGAGTGAATCCCTATATATACCAACTACTCACACCTTGTCATCTCTCACATATGCCCCACAATAGATGTGAAGGCTTAAGCTCCCAAGATGATGAAATATTCAGCTCTTTATAGGCTGATAGGTACATTCTGCTGGTGGTCTCCATGTTTCACACTCTTCCTGGTCTCCATATCTCACCCTCTTCCAATCTCAGTCACTGGGAAAAAAAAAAAAGATTGGCTGAATTCAAGGTCATATCCATGCCAACATTTGGATCCTGTATGCCAACAATTGGATCCCACTTATTTCAGTAAAGGCAGTAATGTGCCAGGGCCTCAATCCTTCCCAATGGACCCAAATGGCACATTTCCTCAAGTTCTATCATTTTCCTCATTCTTTCTAAGAGCAGAGAGAGTATGGCCTCACTCTTGCATAGGATCTGCAGAGTCTCCCTTTTTCTACTGGTCCAGGCCCTGAGGGTATAGCCCTTCATGAACTTGTATAAGCCTCTATATTCAGCTAACATGTTCTTCCAAGTATGAGGTTTGGTCCTTTCCTTAGAAAACACATTCTTAATGGTATCAACTTCATTCCATAGGAAACCCAAAGTTTCCTGGTAAGTATGGCCCTGAAATCCTCTGTAGCTTTTTCTACAGGGCTAACTATATGCCCTGAGTTTGGAAAGACAATACACAAAGTAGGGATCAGTTGTCACCACCGAAAAGGATCTGCCCCTCCTGGCGCTTCTCACACATGACCCTTTCCTTTTTAACCTGTAGTAAGTTTGGAGGTGCCTGCTTCTCCTGGCCAGCTTCCCTGGGCCAGGCTTGGGCTCTAAGTCTCTCAGCTGAAAGGTTCTTCTGCATAAAGGACAAGGGGAGGCTTTGTCAACTTCTCCCTAGCTCCTGAGGAGACACACTTGGCAAAAGCTGTGCCCACAGCCCTCAGACACTAGGGTGCTAAAGCAATCCATGCCCACAGAGCAGGGCAGTTCTCTCTTGAGGTTTTCAGCCAGCCCTACCACCCATATTCAAACTCTGCCACCATAGACCTGGCTCCCACGTGCTGAAACTGTAGTTTTCGAGGGTTTTTTCCTCTCTGGGAAGACCTCACTTTTAGTCCTTTTCGACAGACATTTTTTCTTTGCCACACACTTTGGGCAATGGTTATGAAATTACCACACACACACTTGCAAAAGTTTGCCAGTTTCAAGCATTACAGCTAAACCCATTGACCATGATTAACTTAAAAGTTGGTTAGTTCAAGAATTCAGAAATGTGACAGTTGTTGTTCTATGCTACTCCTTGGCGCAGGCTGAAAATTTTACTTGTAATACTTACTGAGAAGAATCCAGAAAATAGCAGAGCCTCTCTTCTGTTCCATCTTTCATTGGCCAACTGCAATGGGTCATTCTCTTTAGGAGGCTACCTCAACATGGAGAAGTATAAATAGACATGTGTCTGACAGAGAATCTTAACAACAGGAACAACTTAGGCTAGTTCCATGACTTTAAGAATGTTTGTTACAGTTTTCCCCTCAGGTCTGACATTCAAATCATTGGTTTTGATGGCTAGAGCATTAACCACTGCAAATATATAATGGTGAACATCATTACAAACTCCAACCCATTGGCCTCCTTGTGGTAAATCCAAATCATTCAGGCACCATAATTCAAGCTTAGAGATACTGAAAACAAAATAATAAATTTAACAGCCTTGAGTAAGCCTACAGAATTGGATAACATGTATATATACATATATACGTATACATATATATAATATACGTATATATAAACTTAGTTAATGGAAGAGCCAATTGCCTGGACCCCCGTGGTCAGGACTCTTATTGAAAGGGAAATAAATGGAGACTTAAGTTCTTCCATTTCCATCCTTTTGCCACTTTTGTGTCTTAATACTTTGATCCTCATGAACGTAGTATCTCAGGAGTTCCAGCTACTTCCTTAAATCAGTGTGATTAACATGAATTCTACAAAAGTGAGGCAATGGGCCTTCAATGCTGCTTATTTTATTTTTAGGTGAACTTTTTAAAGTCTTACTAAATGTAAGCCAATAGCCTGGGGCTGTCTAGAGAAGCCCTATAATCTCTGTAGCTTGAAAAGGATTGTTTTAAGTTCCCAAACTAGGAATAAAAAGTGGACCTTATCCTGTGCTGCATAATAAAAAGTGGTAGCGGGAGGCAGCTAGGTGGCACAGTGGAGAGAGCACCGGCCCTGAAGTCAGGAGGACCTGAGTTCAAATCCAGCCTCAGACCAAGTACTTGACACTTACTAGCTGTGTAACCCTGGGCAAGTCACTTAACCCCAGTTGCCTAAAAAAAAAAAGTGGTAGCAAAGAATAAATCATAGCAAAGAAACTTAGATCCATTAACTGACTTTCTGACAAAGGAAAAAAGTGTCTTTGGTCTCTAAGAGGTCACTTTCCACCCTAAACTAAGCCTGCTGTTGATAGTTTCAGGTATTTTTCATTGCCAAAGTGATTAGAAAGCCGATTGGCTTGGAAATCTCACAGAGCTATTTGGCCTAGGAGAAGAGAAAAACACATACAAACGTTTAAACTAATGGAGCAATTTAGCAATAAGTATTAAGGTTATTTTACTCTTTGTGAAGTAGGTCAATTCTTCAAGTCACTGATGGAAAAGCTGAAGACGGCGCTATTAAAAGATCGATGGAGGTGCTTAACTCTTTGGTAGCCTATAGACCCCTTCCCATGATGATGGGGTATTTTTTTTGGGTTTTTTTTTTTTAGGCAATTGGGGTTAAGTGACTTGCCCAGGGTCACACAGCTAGTAAATGTCAAGTGTTTGGTCTGAGGCTGGATTTGTACTCAGGTCTTCCTGACTTCAGGGCCGGTGCTCTATCCACTGCGCCACCTACCTGTCCCCCATGATGATGTTTTTAAATTAATGATATAAAATACATAGGATTACAAAAGCAGTGTAAATGATTAGCAATTGGCTCTCTGAAAATGACATGCTTTTTGTTTAATCTGCATTATTAACATTTTCTCCATCACTTTCTGAAGTCTAGACAGTCAACAAAACAACCCTGTTCAAGACCTGATCTGTAGCATTTGCTGATTTCCAAGTGATTTCCAATGCTCACAGTGAAAATTCAAAACTCAGCTCTTGGAAGATAGTTTGGCTGGCTCTAGCACACTCCTGAAAAGGAAAACAATTATATTGAAATATTTATTAAAATATTTTTGAAAACAAGTTCATGAGGGGCAGCTAGGTAGCATAATGGATAGAGCACCAGCCCTGGAGTCAGGAGAACCTGAGTTCAAATCCAAACACAGACACTTACTAGTTATGTGACCCTGAGCAAGTCACTTAATCCCAATTGCCTCAAAAAACAAAAAAGTTCATGAACTTCAGGTTGAGAACCCCCACCCTTCCAGACCGTGGAATAACTCTGACTCAGAAGCCATGTCATTCTCTTCTAGGAGACCAACAAACCCCAGAGTTTCTCCTTAGGAAACAGGAATACTACAGCAACTCCTCAACCCAGAAGACTTGGAAAGATGTTGGACTAAATGATTCTAGGTCTCTTCAGCCTTGGAAGTCTATGATCTTATTAACGCTTTCTGTAGGTCTCACCTTTATGGGTAGAACATGGTTGTCATAATTCCTTGGGACGTTCAGCAAGATCCCTGCATTTGCCTGAACTGGCTGAGCCTCTTCCCCATTTTTCCCCAATCCCAGTCCCTCTCTGCACTAGGGAAGGGAGACTTTAGACAGTGTATGGACACCTCGTCCCCGAGTTAACAACCTCCCAGAGTGTGTTCATTTCTCTCAAGAACAATCATGATTCTCGAAGTGATTTGCCCAGAGTCACACAGCTAGTAAGGGTCAAGTGTTTCAGGCTGAATTTGAACTCAGGTCCTCCTGACTCCAGGGCCGGTGCTCTAACCACTGCACCACCTAGCTGCCCCTTAAAGAATCTTAATAGTCATTTTCATCTATTTACGTTTTGGGGTTTTTTTGGTTTTTTTAAGCTACATTCAACCCTGGGAAGGGAACAGGGGAAATGATGTAACAAAAGATTGAGAACCACTGTTGTCAAATCTCACCATCTGAAGCTGGCATGCAGCCACACTGGCCAAACACTGCCTTAGTGTTACTGACTGCTCTTATGTTGTCCCTTCCCCAACACTCTCAGGGCCTAATCATGAGTTCCGGTTGAATCAAAGCCAGATTCTTCTGTATGATGTTCAAGGCCCATCATAACCTGTCTCTAACCTACCTATACAGTTTATCAGCTACTCTATCTCAATATGCAGTCTCCATTCTATTGAGATCCCTCTGCTTTACCACTTTCCCACCGTGACATACTCCTTCACCTTTCTTCATGCTGCCTACTAGACCAATCTCCTTCCCAAACCTAATTATAAGTACCCTTCAAAGCCCAAGTCAAGCCTCTTTGAAATCTTCCTCAACTACTCCTTGCAGCCAATACTATTTTCCCTTAACTGAATTCAGTTTAGTGACTATTTGTGGAGTGTTGGCAGCATCAGGGCTCATTTGGCAGCTGGTCAGGCCAGACAGGGAATGAATGGAATCCAGAGACTGGAGAGATGTGCCAGGTTATGGCAGGCAGCCCAGGAAGGTCCCAACAGTGATCATAGAAAAGAAATTTGCCCAAGTCAAACAGGTGTGGGGTACAGTAGCATACTTAGGCTGTCATTAAGTTTGTGGAATTCAAGCCTCTTGCAGGGAGGTTACTGAGGTCAGATGTTATCTGGCAACTGGGAACAGGAATCCAAACATGGAGACTAAGGTTCCATGGGCAGCACTGACCAAAGCAAGATAGCGCCAGTCTCTCAGGCTAACAAGTTAGGTTTCTGGGGCCTTCAGGAACGAGACAGGACTCCAGCCGCTAAAAGTGTAAGGAGAGGTGAAGAAGAAGGCAAGAGCCCAGGACAGAGCATAGTGTACCAAGGTCAGAGCAAGAACAGAAGGCTTGAGAATGCCAAGCTGCCTAAACTCCTTGCCAGTAAGAATCCTGTTTTATTCATCGTATTTGTATCCCCAGGGCTTGGATTGAATGATTCATCAACTGAGCAATAGATCCTTGGGTCTTCCCTGAATAAATGCTGGGTTAGTCCCATAGCCTGATCTAAATCCACAGCTGAAGATCAAGTGGCCCCAGTTATGGTGCCTGGAGGGAAGTGGGGCAAGAGTCTAGGCTGGTCATTAAGTGCTTACTAAATGCTAGATAGGCATTATGGGGGATACATACAAAGGAGACAGCCAGCTGGTTTTCAGATCTTGCGGGGCTTTATAATCTCTGGAAACTAGACATCCACAGAGGAAATTCTTGGAGAACAACAGAACATATAAGTAAGTACTTAGACTATAAATGCTATTGATAGTGGTTATCCAAACTAATGAAGAAATGATGACTGTCAGGGGCAGCTAGTGACGCAGTGGATAGAGCACCAGCCCAGGATTCAGGAGGACCTGAGTTCAAATGTGGCCTCAGACACATAATACTTACTAGCTGTGTGACCCTGGGCAAGTCATTTAACCCCATTGCCTAGCCAAAAAAAAAGAAATGATGACTGTCAACCTTGTGTCAGTGCTGGCTGGGTTTTGCAGGGGTTAGAGGAAACTATGTTACAAGGTCCCTAGTCTTAAGAAGCTTCAAATGTAGGTGGAGAAAGGAGCACGTGAAAACTTCAATGATATTAGGAAATTTAAATAATAACAAAACAATAGAATACTCAAAGTAACATGTGATTGTCCAGTGTGTGGTATAGATTACCTTAGACACGATATATCTTGACATTAGTAAGCCAGCTATTGAACAGCCTTTCACAACAGCTCTATGAAATATCCTCCATTTGACAAACACCTCCAGGCCAGGACTGGGTAAAGACAGCCCCAAAGGAAGCAGCCCGAAGGGGATGCTCTTGTGGACACAGGTAAGCAAATACTAAGCATTTATACAGTTATTATGCAAGGTCCTTTCCAGGGAAGGGAGCGCTCCAACTAGAGGAGGAGGATCTGATAAGCTTCCCAGGGGAGGTGCTGCCTAAGCTGGGTTCTGTAGGGAGCTTATAATTCTTGGAGATGGAGATGAACAAGTGCAGTCCAGACATGGGAGACAACCCATGCCAAGGCAAATGGAACATTGCATGGGAGCAATGTCTAGAAGGCCAGTTTGATGGAATAGAAAGTGTGTGAAGGGGAAGTGCTAAAATAGATGAAGAGGCTTCTATCCATGCAGAACAAAAACAAACTATGTCCCAAATTACTAATAATAAAAGAAATGACAATGGAAACAACTCTGAGGCTCTACCTCACACTCACCAGATTGGCAAAGAAAACACAAAAGAAAAATGCAACTGTTGAAAAGATTGAGAGGACAGGCATGTTAATGCACTGCTAGTGGAGCGGTGAACTGGTCCAATCATTCTGTAAAACAATTTAGAACTACACCCAAAGAGTCACTGAACTGTGCATAATCTTTGACCCAGTCACACTTCTGCTAGACATATACCTCAAAGGAAAAAGGAAAGGATCCATGTGCAGCAAAGAACTCGGAATGAAGGGAGTACCTATCAGTTGGGGGAATAGATGACTGAATTAATGGCATATAAATGTAATGTAATATTATTGTGCCATAGGAAATGGTGAAAAGGATAGGTTCAGAGAAACCGGGGAGGACTTGTATGAACTGATGTTGAGTGATGTGAACAGAACTAGGAGAATAAATTATACAATGACTTCTTGCTGTTCAGTTGTGTCTGACTCTTCATGACCCCATTTGGGGTTTTCTTGGTAAAGATACTGGAGTGGTTTGCCATTTCCTTCTCCAGCTCATTTTATAGATGAGGAACTGAGGCAAATAGGGTTAAGTGACTTACCCAGGGTCACACAGCTAGTAGATGTCTGAGGCCAAATTTGAACTCATGAAGATGAGTCTACCTGACTCTCCAGGCCTACCACTCTCTCCACTGTGCCACCTAACTGCCCGTATACAATGACTACAGTATTGTAAAGGAAAACAACTTTCCAAGACTTAAGAACAATGATCAGTGCAATGACTGATCACAACTCCAGAGACTGATGATGGAGCATGCTTCCTACCTCTTGGCGGAGAGGTGATGGGCTAGACTAGAGGTACAGATTGAGATATACAATTTCAAACATGGTCAACACGTGGGTTTGTTTTGCTTGACTATATATACATATATATATATATATTTTTTACAAAAGAGGGCTTTTATGGCAGGGGAGGTGATGGAAGGTAATGGTTGTCATACAAAAGAAAAGAAGGAAGGAAGAGAAAGAAAGAAAGGAAGGAAGGAAGGAAAGAGAAAAGAGCCTCAATGAAAACACAGAAGAGAGATATAAGTTCAACAGGGGACAGAGACAAGCATACTATGTTATGTTAAAATTAACACGATTATATGCTTAACATATACTTAAAGAAAATAACAGCAATAATAATATAGATTCATAATTTCATATATAATACTTTTTGTATATGGAAATGTTTTTGTTGATATTTGTCTAGGTCATAATAAAAACAAGATAATTAAAAATAAAAAGGCAGTAGTAAAACAACAAATAAAAATTTTAAAGTTCTTCTCTTCCTTCAAGTCCCTGCCCACTCCAATACCACCTTTTTCATAAAGCTTTCCCCAATCCCTTCCATTCCCTAGAATCCCTTATATACAATACTTAGATTGTAAATTTCTTGAGGGGAGGGAATTTTAATTTTGTATCACTAGCACCTGTCATAAGGAACATAGTAAGCATTGAAACAAAGCTTCATTGACTCAGATCAATGAACCAAATTTCATTTCATTTCATTGGGAGAGTCTCTAGCAGGTGGTCAACTGGCGCCACCTACTGGAGAACAGGTGTCATCATCGTGATGCTGGAGGCTCAGCTATGTTGCCTGTTATTAATTCAATTCAACTAACATTTATTAATTATAAAGTACCTACTATGTGCAAAATACTGTGCTAGTCTGAACACCTCTAGGTGTAGGGGATCTCCATCCCTACAGTAGATTAGTATGGTGGCTGTTACCCATACCATTCAGAATTATTGCTGTCAATAGTGAAGAGATTATCACTTTTGTACAATACTGTATTCTCTACATGTACATGACCTCAGACCAGATTAATGTAAACAGAGGTGGGGTTTAGTTTATCTTTAAAATTTTCCCCTTTTCCATGCCTCCTCACCCAATCCCCTGACCAAAATGTATCACTTTAATAATAAATATTTTTCCCTAAATCCTTCTGGAGAGTGATTATCTCCTGATTCAGAGGTCCCCAGCTTGTTGGAGAAGGAGATACCCTGAAGAGGGCAAGGAGGTTTTCTGCTTGAAGGGAAGTCCTTGAGTGGCGCAGAGAAAGAACACCCCTTCCCTTCCAGTTAAAGTAGAGGGCCGGCAGTGGAGAGGGAGCTAGTTCCTCTTAAAAGTGGCTTTATCAGCCTAGTCCTGGTTCTCTTTGCCTTGAAATGCTTGTCCTACTAAGTCAATTAAACAAAATCATTAAACATTTCCTCAGCATATAAATAAGGATCTCCAAAAGAGAAGTGGAGTAAAGAAAGTCACCAAAGAAATATCTGAACAGAAAGATAGGTTGATTAAGTGTTGAGGGATCAGAGGCATCATGTTTAGATGTCCTCGTGTTCCACTGTCATCCTCCTCATATCAAGAGAAGCTGAGGAAGACCCCTTATGGGAGAATATGGACAAAGGAAATACAAGATGGACAGGCATGGATGAGTTACAACCCACATCACTGGAGAGAACTTCCATGCAGAGAAGATTACTGACCCATTTGGGTACTAAGAGGGGACAGAATGCTGTGCCTGACATGAGGGAGACTCTGAGAGACTGACAAGGCCCACATCACATTTTCCATCTCTTTTTTCAAGATAGCAAGAGCCCCAGCCTTGAGAGATGAGAGAGAGTGCTAGAAACCTTGGATTAATATTTCGTTCCCCTCCTTCAGCCCTTATATCCACTTACTCACCAAGTAATGTCACTTCTTCCTTCCAAAAATCTCTTATATTCACTCCTTTGTTGCTACCCCATCTTTTTATGCCTGGATTATTGCAACAGCCTAGTGAGTTTCCCTATCATCAATATATCTTTTAATTCTCTTGCTATCAGGAACTCCTCAGCTCGAGAACCTGTTGGAGCTCCTTATTATTATTAGTGGTATCAAGTTCAAACTCTTCTCTTCAGCTGTCAGATCCCTCTGTAACGTGACACCATCCCACCTATCACTTATTTCGCTCTATACCTTGTTTCAGCTAGGCCAGGTTCCTGTCCTCCGAATTCATTATGCACATTCTTGCTGGCATACCTTCATTAGAAGTGTTCCCCTCTACCTGACTTTCCCTCTTTTTGTGCAGAATCTACCTGCTCTTAATGGTACAACTTAAATCCAACCTCATCCATGAAGATTTTTCAGTCCATTCATCTCTCACTTCTTAAAATCCTGTGGTATCATATCAAGGGTAGCCTTAGAGGAGAAAAGAGAAGAAGGTTTTTGGGAGTGGGTTACATGAAGGGGCAGTCCTATCCTTGTTGCCTTGAGAATGGTAGGTTATGGACTGACTACATGTATAGTGAGTTATGAATTGATTATAATATCAGCCTCGAAAAAAAAAATCCTATTCTGTCTTTTGGAGTCTAAACCTGTGATTAAATTGGTGCAGGGACCAATGCAGAAGATCAACTGGTCTGCAGTTTATCATCTTAGAGAGTTGCCTAGGGCACTGAAGGTTAAGTGACTTGCCCAGGGTCACACAGCCAAGATGTGTGAGTGGCAAGACTTAAACTCAGGTCTTTCTAATTCTGAAGTTAGCTCTGTATGTACTATGCTTCTCTCTATTAGAAATACACACGCATACACGCACATGTACCCCACCACCACCACCCCCAGCAATAACAACAACAACAGGAGTAAATTAAAGGCTAACCTGTGTGGTCCTGATCATCTCCCCACTCAGATGGCAAGCTCCTCATCTGTAAAATGGTGAGGGGAGTGGATTACATTATCAACAGAGTAAATTGTTCTTGAGAGAACTAGAGAAGACAGCCATGATAGCCGCCCACCCAGGCCAATCAAGAGCATTCTTCCTCTCAGCTGGCAGAAGAGTGGTCATCGACGCCTCCCTCCTCTTCCTCGAGATGTGCTAAGAGAATTGTGAAGCAGAATGCAGCAGGGCTAGGAGCCAGGGTTAGGAGAGCTTGGGCACAGTGCAAGGACAAGCCTCTCGGGCCTTTTCCCTCGTTCCCTCCTTAGTATCGTCCTACCATCTTCCACGCGGACCCTTACTTTGATAGTGGCTTGCTACTTCACTGTGGAGTAGAGGAAAAACTGCAAGCTCCTTAAAGACAGTGACTGTTTTTGCCTCTCTTTGTACCCATAGTGCTTAGCACACCGCCTGGCACATAGTAAGCACTTGATAAATACTTGTTTCCAATAAGAAGGACTGAAATTTAAAGACCTGGGTTCAGATTCCTGTTGACACTGACTGGATCTGTCATCTTGGGTAAGTCATCTCATCTCTGAGCATAAGCATTCTCAACCCTGAAACTAGCACAATGATGCTTACCTCACTTACCTCATAGGGGATTTGTGAGGAAAGGACTCCCTCAGTTACATAATGCGAGCTGCTGCTACTCCGTAGCCTCCTTCCCCTGGCCTTCTCTGAGAAGACTGGCAGCTTCTAGCAGGGGAATCCACTCCAGTCTGTTTCTTGTTCCCACCCCAATTGCTTATCAGTCCATTTTACACATGAGGAAACTGAGGCTCAGAGAATTTAAGTGACTCACTTAGGGTCACAGAGCTAATGAGCATTGGAGCCAGGCTAGGAACCCAAGGCTACTAGCTCTATCCCCAGCCCTCCATCTATGAAACAGGGCTACCTACCTCTCAAAGCAGTGACTACTCACTCCCTGCCTGCTGTAAATTCTCTAGATAGAGCCAGCTGGCTCACACATACAGTGGTCCACTAAACACAGGTAACTCAGCAAGGCTGGGAAAACCTCCAGGTAGCCTTGGTTACCATGATGATGCCTGGCTTTGCAGGTACATCCTTTTTTTTTTTTTAAGGCAATTGGGGTTAAGTGACTCGCCCAGGGTCACACAGCTAGTACGTGTCAAGTGTTTGGTCTGAGGCTGGATTTGAACTCGGATCCTTCTGACTTCAGGGCCAATGCTCTATCCACCTAGCTGCCCCTACATCCTTTTTTTTTTTTTTTTTACTAAAGAGCAGTACGCACCTGTCTGCCTCTTCCAGCTCCAGTCATCCTAAAGGTAGCACTATAATTCTCAACAGGACCCTGGGGAGTTTGCTTATACAACAAGGTGACACCAGCTAATACTTGCCTGCTGCTAAGAAAATTTCCAGGTTACCCTTCCTCCAGCTCAGAGGAACTAGGACAAGGCAGCTGGGGCTTTTCCCAAGTTGTCAGAAGGAGGTTGGGGTGATATGTGTCTCTTCCGGAGATCCATCATCTCCAGCCTCATGTCTCACAGACTTCTACTGTGTGCCCCCAGTGGTGGTGGGGGGATGAAAATGAAAGGCCACCCTCGGAGAGAGTGAGGGAGCAGGGTCAGTGGGAGGTCAGGGGTGGGGAGGTGCCCCTTCAGTCAGGCTGCTTTCCCTAGCCTGTAGGGCCGGATCCCCTTTCCTGTTCTCTCTCCCCATGCTCTCATCCCTATACACCTCACCCCTATACACCTCACCCCTAGCCCTCTCTTATCTCAGGTACTCAGCACAATGCCTGGCACATACATACTGTTATCCCTTTCACATCACAACTTTCCCCATCGTGGTTTCGAAATATCATGGGTTCATAAAAGAAATCAAATGGGAATTTGGAGGCATTTTGTGGAAGCCACAAACAACGTGCAAAAGGCCAGCAGATGACACAGAGCCTATGACCAAATACTTAACCTAAATTTGACAATAAAGTACGGTAAGAGAAAAAAGAAAAAGAAAAAATTCAGACTTCTTCTCTGGTATGAAGGGAGAGCCAAAAAAATTCAATCAGATTTTCCAGATCGTGGGGGGACACTGTGTCCTTAACCCCTGCAATATGGAAGGGATAACTGTAATTGGTGATTACTTGAGCCTCCTCTGCCCTCCTTTCCACTGTGGCCTCTGAAGTCCTCTGTTGCTTAAAAAAAAAAACAACTCCTTTTTTTCCTAAACTTTTTCCTTCCACACTTTCCAGTTTCTGCTGCTCACAGAAACCTGCCTTTACTTTGAAGATCCATCTCTTGGCACCCTCTTCAAGGCTGGCTGTTCCTTCCTTCTCATCCTGGGACAGGGGATGGGGAAAAGATTGGAGGAGTACTCCTCGATCCCCAGTACTACTTTCACATATCCTGTCTGCCACATCACCAGGTAACCACCTCTGCTTTTAAGGTTACTCCACCCAAAGATGACTTGTTGTCACCTACAGAATGCCAACCAGGTCACTCTCCCCCCTCCCCAGTAAGTTTGTACCTGGCTCATAGTCCCCTCTACCCCTGTGTGAACAGCCTGGTCTTCCAGTTCCTCAACCTTTGTCTCCAGTGTACCTCAACCATACACAGAAGTGGTCGTGTCTTATCTCCCACTCCCCTCAATTGAATTTGGCTCTGGTGCTGGAATTGGGATTGAAGGACTGTCCCATTAGTTCCCCAAAGAACCACCCCCGTGGTACCAGACAAGAGTACAGACCTGGACCTATGCCTCCTGACCTCTCCACTCACCAAATAGTAATTTGGTGTCATGGAAAGATTACTAGAACACGACACAAGGATTCTAATTTCAGCTCTGCCATTACCTAGCTTTGTGACTGTGGGCAAGTCACTTCCCTTTCTGGGATAAAATGGAAGGGTTCAACCCAGATGTACTCTAAGGTGTGTTCCAACTCTATTAACATTCTTCATATCACACCCTAGGCTACCAGTTCACCAGATGCCCTCCCATAAAATAATCCATACTGTTTTTGAGTCAGAAGTCCCTGGTCTGGGACAGCTAGGTGGCGCATGGATAGAGCACCGGGCCTGGATTCAGGAGCACCTGAGTTCAAATTCAACCTCAGACACATAACACTTACTAGCTGTGTGACCCTGGGCAAGTCACTTAACCCCATTGCCTAGCCAAAACAAAACAAAACAAAAAACAAAAGTCCCTGATCCTTTTATTATGAGGGGCATGAGGGTGGTAGACTCACTTGTTAAAGTGGCTAGAAAGAAAAGCACGGTCAGATACAAAGTGGCCCTCAATCCTGGAGTCTACATGGCAGTAACAGAGGCAACGCCTTCAGATGGAAAGACCCCAGAACTTAGAGCAGAGAAGCAGGTCATAGACTCAGGACTAGACAGGACCTCAGATGAAGAGAACAAGGTCCAGAAAGCTTGGCTTGCTAGGGGCAGCAAAACTATGATTTGAACCCAAGTTCTCTAAGTTCCCATCTAACCCTCTTTTCATGAAGCAGCTGGTAGAGCAGTACATAGAGCCCTGGCCTAGCATCAAAATATGAGTTCAGATCCAACCTCAGACACTTACTAGATGTGTGACCCTGGGCAAGTCACTTAAATCTCTGTGTACGTCAGTTTTCTCAACTATAAAATGGGAATAATAACATGACCTATCTTACAGGGTTGTTGGGAAGATTAAATGATATATTTGTGAAAAGTATTTAGTACACTGACTGGCAGACAGTAGACACTACATAAATGCTTGTTCTATTACCTTTCCACTATACCATACCTTCACTACTGACTGGCCTTGTGATCTTGGACAAGTCATTTAATCTGATTTTCTTCCTCTATACAATGAGCATTACATTTAGACTACCCACCTTACAGGTAGGTGCATCCTGAGAATCAAATGATACCATCTACCCACCTAATAGGTATGAGCCTGGCCAAGTCATCTAAGTGCTCTGTGCCTCAGTTTCCTTATTTGTAAAATGAAGGGGTTGGACAAGATGATCTCAAAGTCCTTTCTACAAAACTCTTTATAAACCTTAGAGCACCACAAAAACATAAGTTGTTCTCCCCAGCCCTTGTATGCTGCGTCATCTTCCTCAATTTTTACATACAGGGCACCTAGCAAGTTGGAAGGGGAGGGGCAAGGGATGTGCAGAATGTAAGGCAGATGATGATTCCAAGGCTCTATCTTCAAAGCTTCAGCAGGATTTCAACAGGCTTTGTCCATGTAAACTGTCCACCCATCTCCAGGACATTAACCCCTGTAGTTTTTTGTTTTTTGGGGGGGTTGCGTTCCCTCTATGCCAAAGACACTGATGAGGGATAGAAACAGAACCCAGGTTTTCTGTACACGTACCCAGAATCACAGAATGGCAAAATTGGAAGAGGCCTTAGGGGTCATCCAGGCCAGGGGTTCTTAGTCTGGGGTCCATGACCTTATTTCTTCAATGTTTTGATAATTGCATTTCAATATTAGTTGCTATTGAAATCCTATGTATTATTTATGCATTTCAAATGCATAGTTATACATTTCCATGTGTGCATATTTCATGCAATAATGGCTATTTATGCATTTCAAAATATTATTCTGAGATGGGGCCCATAAACTTAACCCAACTGCCAAATAAATTCATGACAAAAAAAAAAGGTTAGGTACCCATGATCTAGACTAACCCCCTTGTTTCTCTAAGGCCTAGGAAGATGAAGTGATGACCACAATCACACAGCTAGACATGCTTGACCTTGTATTATCCAACTCTCTGGATAAAAGTCAGTTTCAGAGTGGAAAAAAGGAAGGAGTGGAGGGAGGGAGGGAGGGAGGAAGGAAGGAAGGAAGGAAGGGAGGAAGGAAGGAAGGGAGGAAGGGAGGGAGGGAGGGAGGCAGGGAGGGACCTCCAGAATATACTCCAATATATAGCTCAGTAAACATTTTCAAGGAGATAAAATTATTTATCTTTCAATGGCTACAAGGTGGCAAAGCCAAGCTTTGAACTCAGGTTTCTTCCTTTCCTATCTATGTCCTGTGGAAATCTAGGTGTGGAGGCCTCAGGCCACCTCTACTTCTCACCTGGGTAAGATCCATTTTCAGAATTGCTTCTTTCAGGATTCTGCTGCCCCATTCTCTCCCAAGTACCTTCCCTCCACTTTTGCTAGAGGTTTCCAGGAATTGTCATCACCAGTCAGGGTCTGGGGGCCTATAATAGCCAAGTATAGCACTCAAATATGCCAGGACAGGTAGAATACTGTGGTATGGACTGCACTAAATGCAATGGAAGGAATGGATTCTGGAAATGAAGAAGTGGAGGCCTGGGGAGGGGGTTGTCATGTGGAAGAGGGACTGGAAGGTGGATGTCACTCTAAAGGAATACCCAATAGTGACTGTGGGAAGCAGATTTCAGGTCAGTCTGAGAGCTGTCCAAAGATGGAAGAGCTGGCTGCTCATTGTGAGGCTGTGGGTGCCCAGCCAAAGAAGAACTCATCAAAAAACATGGGCCAGGCTGGACTGGACCAACTCTAATGTTCCTGCCAAGTCTGTCTGTACTAATTAATGCCTTGGTGAACTTTCAGACACAGCTGTACATTCTTCAGGCTGGTTTGTAGGGAAAATCTGTATACGGAGTGGCACTGTTGTCCATTCTCCCCAAGTGGCGCAGAGACAGAAGAGTAGCCAGTCTGCATCTCTCCATTCCAGATCACCTGCCCTCACTAGGCACAGTGTGAGTGCCAACTGGCCAGAAGCATTCCCCTCTTCTGTGCCCCCTCCATCACCATGACCACCTACCTGCATACACTGGTATGTCTTACAAGTATCATGTTGTTGGGGGTTTTTTTATTAACATCATTTTGTTTTAAATTTTTTTAAAAGTCCTTCTGTCCATGCCCCCCACCCTACTTCCCTTCTTCCCCCTAGCTATGAGCTAAGGAGAGCCTTTTGTGTTTTGATGTGGAGCCCCTGGGTCTTCCTCGGCCTCGACGTGGTGGCCTTCCACTGTGGTTCAGGCCTACTGACTCCCCCTGGCCTGTGCTGGCAAGTGAAGGGCCTGACAAGCCAAGTCCCAAGCCAGGCTGGAGGAAGGAGGAGCCAGAGTGTGGCGAAGTCCCTGAGAGGGGGGTCCCTAAGGTGGGGAAGGCTGGGGGTGGGGAGAGGCTCTGGGCTGTGTTGGCAGTGGCAGATGCCGCCACGGCTTGGCTCCGTCGGGCAAAGGCTCTCTCTTGGCGCAAGTAGCGAAGTTCATCCCGAATATCTGTGAGGACACTGAGGAGACGGGACTGGAGCTCACGATCTCGAGCCCGCTCCTCTCGTTGCTGGGCTCTCTCTTCCTGCCATACACCCAGCTCCTGGTGGTACAGCTGGTCCCACTGTTCTTCCAGGTCCAAGAGTCGATGCAGGTTAGTCCGCCAGGCCTCCCGAGCGCTCCGGGAGCAGCTCATACCCCCCCGGAGGGGCTCTCCACTTGGTGAGGCTGAGAAACGAAGAGACTCTTCCCGGAACAGTGGAGAATGAGGGGCTGCATCCTCCAGCTTCTCCCAATTCAGCCCCCCGAGGTCTGCCTCTACCACTCTCTCCTCTCTCCTCATCTTCAAGTGAAGGTGGGGGCAGCTGGGAGGGGCTGAGAACCTGGCTGAGGTCGCTGACCACGGCAGGGGCAGCCCAGTCAGGAGGGGCTTCACCTCCGTCCTCAGGAAGGGAGGTGAGGGAGGTCCTCGAGCTGCAGTGTCGAAGCAGGAGCATCCCACGTCTCTCTTCCTCCTCTTCTTCTCCTTCCTTGATGTGGCCAGCTACTGCCTGGGTGTCTTCATCTTCCTCATCCACGGAAGCATAGGAGACCATCACGCCATTTCGCAGGGCTGGAGACATGGGTGGCTCAAGGTCAGGCTCTGTGAGAATATACAGAGAATACACACCAGGGAATGAGGAAAGTGGGCAGTTCTGCTGAGGCCTCCCCCACCCCCCATCCAGCCTCCCCCAGTCCCAGCCCCTAAACGTTCCCAGAATCAGGCCCTTGAAAGAAGGAAGCTCATGGGAGTGAGAGAGGAAGCTGGGCCAGAGTCACCTGAATTCAACCCAACCTCATCTCAAAGCACTCCCTGATTTTCTGCTTTGATCTAGCCGAGCCAGACTCCTTTATCCAGAACACAGAACATGCTATGCCCAGTGTGGCCTTTGCTCATACCAAATCAGTGGATTCCGAGCTGGAAGGGACTGTAATGTCCAACTCTTTCATTTTACAAATAGGGAAACTAAGCTCCATGTAACTGTGCAGTATGTCATGAGGAAACTGAAGCCCAAAGACAGAGCAGTCATAGGTCACAGATCTAACACTGGAAGTGACTTGCCCAAGGTCACACAGAAAGACAGCAGCAGAGCCAAGTCCAAGGACCCAGATTTCCCAACTCCCAGGCTAAGCATTTGAAACAACATTCAACACATTTCATTCAAGAGGCAAGCTTTGATTGGGGCCAGCCCCCTGGCCTGAGGACCACCAGACACCAGATTGGGATTTGGGTCCCTGGAAACATGGGTAAATCACCCTGGCATGGTGGCCACTAATCCCCTTCCTTAACGTCTTCTTCGCTTCTGACCTGCACGGCCTCAAAGGGCCAATGGGGCCATGATCTGGGGGATGCCCGAGTCACAGCAGGGTGCTAAACACCACCATCGATTTACAGTGTAACCTGTGGGTTTTCCAGCAATGAAAAGGCAGGCTAGAATGGGTCTTTCCATCTCTTGCCAAACCCCTGGGCCCAGCTAAGGAGCACTTTGAGGGCTACAGAGAAACTTTCCTGGAGAACGTAGCCATGGCAGCACTACAAAGTTATCTTAATGCTCATTTTACAGCAGAAACAACCACAGCCCAGAGACAGTAAGTGCCACCAAACAGGGAGCTGGTAACAGAACTAGCACTCTGGACTTCTGAATCTTAGACTAGGATTTTTTTTTGCATAACCTTTGACCTTCTCCCACGTTTGGCCCAAACAGTCGAGGCTCTGAAAGGCCAGCATGGCCAACGCTACCCTCCTAGGAATCATAGGATTTTAGAGTAGAGAGACTTTAGAGACCTAAGTATAGCCCCCCATTTTACAGATGTGGAAACTGAGGCATAGAGAGGTTACGTGACTTACCTAAGGTCACACCACACAGGTACTAAATGGCACAGCCAAGATCCGAACTCAGGCCTTTTGACTCAAAGTTCAGTGATCTTTCACTGTGCAAGGCTCCCCCCACAGAGGGCAGACAGGAGCACTCCCTTGTTAGCATCAGCATAGAGGTTGGGGCAGCAGAAGCCCCATTGGCAGGGCAGCCCTGACTGCTCGGGGACTCTAAGGAAGAAGCAGTTTGTAGGACAGAGGCACCGCCTGGGGAGCAGGACACAGATGGGCTCGGGCCTGGTGTCCCTCCCCCAGGGTGCTCCCAGACGAAGACAGAGATCCTCCCAACCCTCCATCCACCCTGGCCAGGCCTGGAGACCCAGTGTGGTACGAGGGGAAAAGCACTGGACTTGAGTCAGGAACCCTGGGTCTGAATTCCAGCTGTGACATGAGCCAAATGACAATGAGTAAATCGTCTTGCCTCTCTGAGACTGTTTCCTCATCTCTAAAATGGGGATAAGTTAAATCTGTGGCACCTCTCACAGCACTGTTGGGAAAGCAGTTCTGCAAACCCTCAAGTTCTCCTTGTCAAGGCTCCTATTCTACCCTCCACGGCCCATCGGCTCTGGGTCAGCACCTTCCAGTGGTCAGGGAATGAGCTGGGGCATCCCTCTGTCTGGCCACAGCTAGTCCCAAGAAGGGAGGGCAGGTGGGAGGCTCCTTCGAAAGCTCAAAGTCTCCTCCCCTGGTGGAATCACTGCCCAGGGTAGGAGAGGAAGCCTTCCCCTGTCTGGGCCCAGAGGTTCCTGTGTAAAATGACCTCTCATGGCCCTTCCAGCCCTGGGAGAGGGTGCTGAGTCAAGAGGCAAGAGGACAGGGGTTTCAGTCCTGGCTCTGATGATCTGGGACAAGTCCCTTCCCCTTCTTTTCTGGGCCTTGTTTGCTCTCCTGTGAAGTGAGGGGGTCAGACTAGGTGATTTCTAAGGTCTCTTTCAGTTCTAAATCCTTTGAATCAATCTCCCCTGTCTCTCCTCTCTAAGTCCCAGTGTTGGGGGCAGGGGAAGAGTCTGAGCTTCTGGCTCAGTCCCTGAAAGTTTCCTCCATGAACGGGATCATGGGGCTTAGTGCTGGAAGACACTTCAGAAATCAGCTGGTCCTTCCCCAGCACTTTACAGACCAGGAAAGTCAAATAACTTGCCTCAGGTCACAGAGATGATCTGTAGCAGACCTGGGGCTTTGTCTCCAAATCTAGCCCTCTTGCCCCTGCCCCACAATTCTGTCCCAAAGCTGTCCCACACCCAGTGACTCTCATCCCCTCCCAAGCCAAAGCCTCCCAAGATGTCCCAAGCCTCACCAGGGTCAAAGAATGCCTCGGGTTCTGCTCTGGGCTAGCCTGGGTAAAGGTGGAGGCCACCATCTTCTCCAAGGGGGTGAGGCGGGCCTTCTGGGGGCCACAGCTGCCAGGGGGGCCCTTCCTGGAGGTGAGCTTCCGCTTGACGTCCAGCCGCAGATCTCGCCACTTGTGTTTCAAGTCTTCCACGGAGCGCTCAGTGTAACCCAGGAAGTTCACTCGGCTCTGGATCTGGCCCCAGAGCTGGTTTCGGCGGGCAGAATGGGTGCGCAGGGCCTCAGCCCCATACAGGGCCCCAAAATGCCGAACCACGTTCCACACCAGTGTTTCTGTCTCATCATTAGAAAAGTTGGCTTTTCGCTTCCGACAAGGAGCCGCCATGCCCGGTGACGGGGAGCTGGTTGCCCACCCTGTGCCCAGACTGCACAGAGGGCCCAGTGGCCCTCCAGCAAGTGGCAGCAGGGCCAGCCCTTCAGGTGAGAGGTCAAAGGTGTGACCTGGCTAGCAGGGCCAGGGCAAGAGTCCTGTGCTGGGAAGGGGAAGGCCAGCTTTTAGGCATCAGTTGGTCCCCGTGTCAAAGGAGTGGGAGAGGAAGGCTTTAGACCCACGTCACGTCTGGCCCCTCCCCCTTCCTTCCCATGGTTTCTGTACACCTGGCAAATCAAGAGAGGAGCACATTCAGGCAAAACTCATTTTACTAAAGGTAAACAGGGCCCCAAAGTTCATGTTCCTCCCAAGCCCAAACCCCATGATCCTCTCACAACCCCTCCTTTCCTAATATCATCCAACACCACCATTTGCCTTGCTATTGACCAACAGATTTGTGACAGCTCTTACACTCTTTTGTGTGTGTGTGTGTGTATGTGTGTGTATAAACACATGTCAATAACTCAGTATGATAGAAAAAGCATTGGAGCAAGTCAAGACTTGGTTCTGATCATGGGCAAGTCATTTCCCTGGTCTAAGTCTGTTTTCTCCTCTGTTACACGAGGATAATAATACTTTTATTACCTTCCTTACAGGACTATTGTGGGTTAAGCACTATGGTAATGGAAGTTATGGCCAATTTCAACAATCTCACAAGCACTCTGGAAGCAGACACCACGTCTTAGTACATCTTTGAATTTCCCACAATGGCTATTACAGAGCTGGGCAAATCACATTTCACTACAGCACCAGGTATCCACAAAGATGTCATTGTTCAGTTGTTTCAGTGGTATCTGACTCATCAAGACCCTACTTGGGGTTTTCTTGGCAAAGATACTGGAGTGCTTTGCCATAGCCTTCTCCAACTCATTTTACAGGTAAGGAAACTGAGGTAAACAGGGTTAAGTGACTTGCCTGGGGTCACACAGCTAGTAAGTGTCTTGAGGCCAGATTTGAAATCAGGAAGAGGAGTCTCACTGACTCCAGGCCCAGAGCTCTAGCCACTATGCCACCCAGCTGTCCCACAAAGTATGATGCTGGTAGTTAAAAGTGGATTTTTAGGAGAACCTGACTCCATCTTGTGCTAGATTTAGTCACTGTAAAATGTATAGAATGCCTCTCTCCTAGTATCTCCCTTTCCCCAATCACTTCTATGAGAATACTTATAGGATTTTGACTAGTTTCAGGAACTCTTAGGTCCTATCTACTGTGCAACACAGTAGGAGCTAAACAAATGCTAATTAACTAAATGATAAAGAAGATACTGGATAGCTAGGTGGCACAGTAGATACAGTGTCTAAGCCTGGAGTCAGGAAGACATGGGTTCAAATCCAGCTCAAGATACTTAACTAGATATGTGACTCTGAGCAAGTCACTTGACCCTGTTTGCTTCAATTTCCTCATCTGTAAAATGAGCTGAAGAAGGAAATGGCAAACCATTCCCATATCTTTGCCAAAAAAACCCTGAATGGGGTGAAGAAGAATTGGACATGACTAAAAATGACTGAAAAAAAGAAAAAGACAGTCTTCTTTCATCTAGAGTAAATAAATGGCTACGCTAAAAGCCTCTGTAACCATTTAAGCATCATTTTTTCTTTCTCTAAAAATGTAGCTTTTTGTTTCTCAGAGCCCTACCAGATCTTAGCCCAAACTACTTAATAAGCCTGTCCACATGACCTATCTGATCTCACCCCAAACTCTGGATCACGAAGCTCAGGAGGAGATATGTCATCTGTAAAATTGTGAGACACACATCCATCACCTACTGATGGTTTCACACGCTTGAGTGTATAAATAAACTGCAATGTACCTGTCCGTAAGCTGTGCCGGCTTATTCATGCAGTGGCTAGCAAGGAAGTTGAAAATTCTTGCAACATGTTCATTCAGTCCAAGGGTTTGATTTCATTTTGTTGGGAGAGGGGAAGGAGAGAGTAGGATTGGCGATTAAATCCCCTCTCCATATTTCCTCTGCCCGGAGGGGTTACTCTATCTTGAATTGGGGAATTGGCATCTAGAAGATTAAACTGAGTCCTACTCAAGGCTTAGCCACTAATTCCCCAAATGGTCTTAGGGCAAGTCCCCTCCCTCTCAGTTTCAGGTTCTACAGTAGTATAAGGAAGGGTCTGGACTACATGACCTCTAAGGAGGTCCATGCAGCACCACCTTCTCTGAGTCCAGGGCCTCACATCACACCGCCAGCTATGCCCCTGATGAGATGGGAGAGGCTTGATCCAGCAATGGAAAGGCTGGTAGCTGCAGGTGTTGGAAAAGAGGGCCCAAGCAAAGAGTAGTTGTGAGAGGTGGGCAGAAAGTAGCATGGGGTGTTAGTGTTAGCCTGGCATGGCTTATCTCCTCTCCCCGAGGGCTTGGGGCATGGGTCTCCCCTCCTGCTCCCTAATGAGTCTGTTCTCCTACATCATTGGCATAAGACCAACAAGCTTGCCAGGGAGGGGTTGGGCAGGGCCTCACCTCGGTTAAAGTGGGGGACCCACTGCCCAGCAGGGGAAGGCTGAGGCCCTGCGTTCACGGGAAAAGGGCTCACCCCTGGCTGGAAAAGGGGCCCACGGAAGACGAAGACACAGCTCGATTTGGGTGGGGCGGCACTGTGCCCCTCCCCCCTAGCATGCACACACGCGTGCGCGCCACCCGCGCCCCCCCCCGCCTACCCCACAGTCCTACCCCACTATTGCCTGCCCCCGGTCACTGGGGCACCGCTGGCCCTGGGGTCAGCCCAACAACACCAACCCGGGGGTGGGGGAACAGAGTCCGGGCCCCTCAGCCAATAGGAAGCGCCCACTCCCTCCCTACCCGAGAGTGGGTTGCAGGCCCACTGACAAACCTGGCCCGGGCTCCGGGCACTCGGCTACTGCTCGGCGGTGTGGTCCGCTAGCCCTGCCCCTCCCCCGAGGGAGGAGGGAGGGCGGCCGGCCTGGCGGCCGCCCCGGCCAAGGCACAGCTCGGAGGGAGGGCGGGGGTCGCAGCTCGTCCGGCCGCGGGGGCACGGGCGTCCAGGCGGGTGCGGGAGCGCGGCAAGTCCCGGCTCCCGCCGCTCTGGGGGCTAACGGCTTCTGCCAGGGCAGGAACTTGCCTTCATTTCCTCCACCACCGCCGTCTGCCACAGAGGGAAGGAGCCGTCTCCCGGCCGCCCTCTGCCGGCCCTCGGGCCTCAATGCCCGCCCCGCCCCCCACTTCCAACCTGGACCCCTAAGTCCCTGTCCGAAGGCTGCTGCGGCTTAGCTGCGGGGTGACCGTGGGCAAGTCACTTCTGCTTTCTGGGCCTCAGTGTCTGCACGTGTTAAATGGGTCCATGGGGAGGCAGCGGGGCCCAGGAGCAAGAGAGAAAGCAGGATCAAAGGACTTGGATTCATATGTTACTCTGTGGCACCTTGGGCAAGTTACTTAGCCTCCCTGGGCCTCAGTTTCCTCATCTGTAAAATGAAGGTCTCTTTCAGCTGCAGATTTGTGACTAGTGACCTTAGGAATCATCTAGGCCAACCCCCTTATTTCATAGATGAAGAGAATTGGTTTAGAGCTGGAAGAGGCCCTGGAGGCCATCCCCTGCAACCCCCTCACTGTCTTTCCAGTGTTAGACTGTAATTGCCCTTTGGATTTAAGAGATAACTTCCTAACAACCAGAGCAGAGTGAAGGTAGAACAGGTAGTTTCAGGGCATGGTAGGTTCCCTGGAGGTCTTTGTAAGCAGAGACTGAATATACATGTCAGGTCCTAAAGGGGATTGCTGTCCAGGTATAGGTTGGGCTGAATGCCTTCTGCTCTGAGATTGTGCGGTTTTGTGATGCTGTGAGATCTGCCTCTTCCAGTGCCTGGCGTACCACAGTAAGCAACTAATAAATCCTCATTGATTGATTGATGGATCTATGAGGGCAGTCAGAGAAAACTTCCTAGAGGAATCGGGATGATTTGGGCCCTTGAATTTGGGACAGGATTTTAATAAAGGACTCAGAGTATCCTTCTTTTACTAACTTGTCTATAACCTACATGAATCTCTGATGAATCGATCATTCATAATAGCAGAGGCCCTTTAGGTTCATATATTATGGATTTCTTGTGGCCATGGGGAAGGTATTGCAGGAAGGTGGCCCAGCTTGGGGAAAGGCAGACAGGCACAAAGGCAGGAATGAGGATGGGGAAAAGGGCAGGGTAGAGTGTTATAATGCAAGGAACGCCAGAGTCAGAGGACCTAGGTTCAAATCCCACTTCTGTGCAACCTTTGGTAAGTCATTGGACTCCCTGGACCTCAGTTTCCTCATCTGTAAAATGAAGAGGTTGGACAAGGTGGCCCCTGAGAGTCCTCCCAGCTAGAGAGCTATGATCTCCTCCTAAGACAGCCAGGAGAGTAAAGGGCACAGGGGCATAAACAGTGATGATTCCCATTCCTATGGCCCTTTACAATATTCTCACTTAGTGGAGGAAGGAGCACTCCTCTGCAGCTCAGAACACTCATCTTTTACTAAATATCTGTAGCTTAGAAGAAGCTTAGATGACTCATTCACCAGGGGACTCCATCCAGTTCATTCATTAAATAATTCACTTCACCTGGGGGATAGGATCTGCTGGCAATATTCGTGATAGCTTCTCCTTTGTGACCAAAACATGATCAATCTCGGGGCTGTAACCTGGGCTTCCAGAGCCCTTTGCAGGTTACAAAGTGCTCTCCCATCCACAAATTCATTTAAGCCTCACCTCAAGCATGCTGTATGGGTGATCAATAACCACATTTTATGGGTAAGGAGACTGAGACTTAGGTGGGATAAGAAACTTTGGAATCATCCAAATCCAGCCTCAGACACTTGACACTTACTAGCTGTATGACCCTGGGCAAGTCATTTAACCCCATTGCCTAGCAAAAAAAAATAGTAACAAACAAACAAAAAAAACAGACTTTGGAGTCAGAAGTCCTGGGTTTGGGTCCTGGCTCTACTCCATGACCCTGGGTAAGGCACAACTCCCCTGTGCTTGTACCCTCTCTGTAAAATAAGGAGACTGGACGATAGGATCAGACATTCCACAAACTTCCTGCATGTCCTATCAATCAACCTATGATCCGAAGGTCACATGCTAGCAATAGCATGGTTTTTGAACCCAGGGCTTTCTGACAAACAAGTAGAAGGTCTGAAGGAGCACATACATAGCCTCCTTGGATAGACAAAACAACCAGCAGGGATAGTAGTAGCTCCTTTAGGAAGACCCTGGTTGGAATCTTGCCTCATATACTTAGTAGCTGTGAGCCTCTGGGCCTCAGTTTCCTCATCTGTAAAAGAGGAATAACAATAGAACCTACATCTCAGGGGGCTGTGATGAGGATCAAATCAGATAAAATATGTAAAGTGCTTTGTGAATGTTAGCCAATAAGTGTAAAATGAGGATTATAACACCTACCCTTCAGAATTACTTTATGAATGATCATAATAGCTAGCACTTATTTAAAGGTTTGCAAAGCACTTTAGGAATATCTCATTTGATCCTCACAATAGCCCTCCTAGGTAGGTGCTATTATTATTATTCCCATTTAACAGATGAGGAAACTGAGGCAGGCAGGTTAGAGGACTTTCCCAGGGTCCCACAGCCAATAAGTGCCTGAGGCTGGATTTGAACTCAGCTCTTCCTGACTCACAATCCACTATATCACCTGGCTGCCTTTATAGGTCAACTGTAACAACATAGGTAAAGCAAACACTAAAAAATAGTAGTATCTCCAATTTCTATAGTATTTTAAGAAGTATTTTCCTCACAGCAACTCTGTGAGTGCAGTTATTACTGTTCCAAGTTTATAGATGAGGAAACAGTCCCTAGGAAAGTGAAATGACCTGCACAAACGTACATAGCTCATAAATGAAACTCAAGGGTTTGAAGGCAGGTTTCCTGATCCCAAGTCCAGACTCTGTCCACCTGGTGCCACTCCACGGCCTAACAGCCAGGGAGACATTAGTGCCAAGCTGTGAGGGCCAGGCTCCCTGGGCCACAGAAATTCAAATCTGGGAGACATCCAAGTTGGTGGCAGCATCATTATTATAATTCTATCTCTATCCCAAGAACAGATGTTTGGCCAGTAGGACTTGGATTGCTACAGAGCTGACACCAGATCATAAAAACACATTGTTAAAAATAATCATTTGATTGACTTTCAGGGCCCTGATTTTTCTTTTTATCCCTCAATCCAGCTTTGGGGCATTTGTACAGTAGGTTTGTTGAGAATCTACTGCAGTGATGATCACTCCAATTTTCCTTAGTATTTGAGATTGCCATATGTTTTGGCCAGAGAGGCTAAGATGATTCGTCCAAGGCAACCAGAACTACATATGAAACCCAGATCTTCTGACTAGCAGCACTAGAGTTCTTGCCCCTCCTATATTATACAGTAGCCTCTTGGACCTCTTCCTGGGCACCCTGGGAACACAAAGTACCTGACTTCAAAGACTCTCCCTCCCCATCTCTCTAGTTGTGGGATCAGGATCAGACATGAAAAATAAGTATACTCCAAGGCGGGAAATATTAAACACATCACATGGGTGTAAGTGTGCTCATGCATATACGTGTGTGTGTATGTGTGTGTGTGTGTGTATGAGGGGTAGTGCGGAATAGTAGGTAGAAGGTTAAACTGTGAGTCAGATCTTTTTTTTTTACTTCTGTAGTGTTTTGTGTCCTCTTTCTTGTGGTTTCTTCTAATGGTTCTATTTCTTCCTTACAAGATGACTAATGTGAAAGTATGTTTAATAGGAATGTATATGTATAACCTCTATCAGATTGTGCACTATCTTGGGGAGAGAAGTGGGGAGGGAGAGGAGAAACGTGTAAAACTCAAAAGTTTATGGAAGTGATTGTTGATAAATCAAAATAAATTAATTTTTTAAAAAAAGGAAAAAAAACTGGGAGTCGGGAGGCCTGGTTCTGGCCGCTGAGCCTTGTAACACTGAAGCAGATGGATTTGTGGTTGGAAGAAACCTTGGAGATCATTTAGTCCCAGCCTCTTATTTTATAGAGAAGGAACTGAGACCCAGAGAGGTTAAGTGACTCATCCAAAATGTATCATACAAAGAGCAATTGTCAGGATTCAAACCCAATCTACTACCCAAGGCTACCACTTACCTCTCTCCTCTGAGCAGAGTGCAGTGAGGAAAGTCCTGAGGTCAAGTCAAGAGGATCTCTGTCCAAATCTAAACTGCTTCTTCCTACCCTTGTTTCCTTGGGGAAGTCATAAAAGCATAGATGGAGATCGGAAAGGGATCTTAAGAGAGCCCAAGCCTCTCAATTTAGAGGTTAATTGATCCCCCTGGGCAGCCTCAGTTTCTTTATCTGTAAATTGGGGGGCAGAGAAATGGACTAGAGGATTTCTACAGTCCCTCCCAATTCTACAGGATCCTAGATGAAATGGGGGTAATGATAGCTAACATTTATATAATGTTTTTTGTCCGTTATCTGATTCAATCCTCATAGCAACCCCATAAGGTAGGTAGTACAAGGGTTATTGATTCCATTTTACAGATGATAAAACTGAGGCTCAGAAAAGTTACGTTATGGGTCATA